CATCTCCAGTGGCTGCATTGGATTGGATTTGTGAGGTGGACGTGGGATACCATGGGACAATGCATTGGATTGGATGACACTGTTGCTCAATGTTGCTTATGTTGAGGAACCTGGGGATGTTGAATCCTGGTTGGGGATTGTTCATATTGGAATCATATTGTTCTGAACTGTTCTGCCAAACTGAAGTCTAGAGTCTAGAGTTGTTTGTTCTTTATCTAGTATTAGTATTGCCTTTGTGTGCGTGTATTTGCGAGGACGTTTTCGTGGAAGTCTAGTCCTACACATGGCACCTGATGGACATGAAACGATGGCTCTTGAATCACAACTTGGAGCCCTTTGGAGGTATGTATGAGAAAATTCTCCTCGGAAGAAACGTTGCGCGGCTTGGCTACAGAAAAGCCGTTGATTCTTCTGGTTGTTTCATGGTGTTTCTGTCATTTTCTGTAGTTTGCATCGCAGTGTCTCACATTCACGTCGCGTTGCGACGAAGACTGCACCAAAAGATTGTATATTAGATGCTCGTGTCCAACGGTCAATCTTGTCAATGCCAACAAATACGTATTTCGGCAATGTTGCAAATCAAAAGCATGAATTCCGGGCCAATGTAGTCCTAAATCGGTGTTGAGGCCCAAGCTGGCCTCAGCGCACCCCACAAGTTCCGCAAAATTCCCCCCAACGCCAAAATGGTCTGATTTTTGCCCTTTAGGAAAAAAACACTTCAAAACCGCGTGGTTCTTGTTACCAAAAAGGGGTTAGCTCGCCAAAGCTAGCAGAGCTTTTGACGATGTTGACGGATTCATGCGACACAATGTAAAATGCTTTGCACCTCCAGCAGGGGCGGGTTTTCTCACAATGATTCGCAATGTATGTCAGTTTGTTTGTTTTGTTTGTTTTGTTTGTTTGTTCGTTCGTTCGTTTGTTTTTTAAAAATGTTTGTTTGTTTTTTGTGAGATTCTGTTTCATCAGACTGCAGTAGATTCCTCCGGAATTTTGCATCAAGCGTTGGTGGGGGCAATGTGTATGCAAGATGTGTAAGGTGTGTTTGGATGCGCGCATGCACGCATCAATGGACAACATCAAGCACAGGGGCCAGCAGAGTGAGATGAACAGACATGGGTCTTACTACCTTCCAATGGATTTTCGATGGGAAAAATGTGCCATATCTGATTAATTACCAAAGGTCAACTGCTTGGTTTTTCAACCATAGGCTCTATGCAGTCTTGGGAAACAAAAGAATGTTTGCACAGGTCCCCATGTTTTGTTCTGTCTTCTTCTTTGTTCGCATTCAGGAAAGCACGAGCAGCTTTCCGAGTTGCACAGCTGGCATGTGTGAAGTTGATGGGTAATCGCAAGTACGGACAGAGGCAAGTCACTCCATCAGTTAACATTATGTTTGGATATTCTTGTTTATTCCACTTTGAGAGTGGGCGGGGTTTCGTGCCCGCAATCAGGGTTACTTTCCAAGGCAACCTGTTTGGATCTGAGGTCATGTCTTTCGTAGCCTTTCGTGGTATGAGATTCCGTCAAAACTTGCGTGGATTAAGTATGTATTCAAAGCCAACGAGATAGATTCTATATTCAAGGTGGCACTGCCATGTTGAACACTGCGCTGGCAGAAGAGTTCAGGTCGAAGCAGTTGTTCCCAATGGGGCTACTAGTCAAGATGCACCTAAGATGAACCTAGATGAACTGAGATGAACCAAAAGTTGATCACCTGCAACAAAATATTTTGCCATGGCCCAATCACGAAAGCCAGCCTGATGAGCTGGATCGTTGCTTTTTGCGAACGAAGTGAGAATAGGGGGTCTGGGGGGACCCCTTGCCGTACGGGCACTTTTCCACAGATTCCATTGGCGTGGGGGTGGCATGGCAGAGGTGTTTTGGAAGGCTATGTACCAGAAGGCAAACAGGTGACAGTAGGTATCGATTCCCCCCTTGGTCCGCACGACACAGCACCAACGGGACGAATCCATAGGACAGTGCTCCCCATGACAGGACGGGCCAAGTGACACGTACAGTACAGAGACAATAGAAGAGACCCAGTCAAATATCTGAAAAAGGCATCTGACACTAGAGAGTCGAGGTTCAGACTTGGAGGATGGTATGAGGGCTCGTTGGTTTGTAGATGCACTGCACGACATAGCTGTTATGTAACAGAATTCACCAGCAGGAAGGATCTAAAGGACATCGCTATAGATGACAAGAAGGAGTCCTAGTGAAAGATCTGGCAACGGTATCTGACACTAGAGAGTTGATGGCTCCGATTTGTAGGGTGTTATGGGGAATGTTTGCAAGTTGTGGGTGATCAAGAGGAGACTGGAATGAAAGTGGTATGTGAGATGAACTTCAATCCTCTTTAACACCACCAGATGAGAGCTGGTGTTCATTCCCCCCTTCTCAGGTAACCCCCTTACATAGATTGCTACGATTGCTAAGTCCGCAACATGGCCACATGTGTGATTCCATTGGACCCCATATGCGAATATGTTCAAAACTTGTGTAGGGTTGGGCATGCAAACTCCGGAGAGCCAGGCACAAGCAGAACCTCATGAAGCTGGGAATCTGAGCGCCCCTTCACATCCTGGACCCCTCTGAATAAACAAAACCCAAGCAAAAAGCGGCGTGTTTGCAGTTCAGTTTGCCCATTTTGCCCAGTTTGTGGGTGGAGTCTTGATGGGCAAAGTCGTTTGTCTCAGTAGGCATTTGTATTCTGCACATCTGATGCACTCTGCACTCTGATACACTCTGATTATAGTTGATTCAATTTTGTTTTGTCTCTGTGACTTTTGCATCCCCTACTGGGAGTCAGTGTCGGCACTTGCTGATTCAACTTGCTTGGACGCTCCTGTGGCATTTGGGTTGCCACATATTGCAGCTCTATTCTCAAGTTTCGCTGTGTGGTTTTAGGCTTGAATTTCGCGGAAAACACGTCAGCAAAACACAAGTGACACGGTGTGAATTCAGCATGCCTTTGACCAAAGCATTGCCTTGTGATTTCAGGTCTGACATGTTTGCATAGCCTTTTAGGCGCAGATGATTGCCCTTAGGTGGGCCTCGCAGTTCCAGCGAAAAGCGTCCGTGCTCCATCCGCTACCACTGGGCTGAAGCTCAGTGGTAGCGGAGCCTGATGGCAAGTGATCCTGCTGGTGCACCAGCGACCTTTGGCCGAGAGCCACCACCGCCGGTTTGGGACGGCAGCGAGCCTGGGCTCCTCTTTGCTGTGTATGAGAAGAATGTGAAGTTGTGGCAGTTCGAGACTGAGCTGGACACGAAGAAGCAAGGTGTTCGGCTCCTGAGGGGCTTGACGGGCGTTGCCCGTGCAGCGGCTGACAGCCTTGAGTTCGAGCAGATCGCCGATGAAAAGGGGGTGCAGAACATCCTTCAGGTGCTGAAAGGGCATTTTGCTCCACATTTGGAGGTGTCGCTCCCTCGAGCGTTTGAGAGGGCGGTGTATGGGGCCCCGCGTTCTCACAAGGAGGACATTCAGGAATACCTCATCAGATGTGAGAGGGCCTTTCACCTTCTTAGCAAAGAAGGGGTATCACTGCCTGATGCAGCTGTCGGCTATGTGATTTACCGTCAGGCTGCGCTGTCGGAGAGCCAGGAACTCCGCTTTGGCGCTTGGGCTGGTGGCAAATACGACAAGGCAACAGTTCTGTCATGTCTTCGAAAGTTGGACAAGGTTGTCTCCTCTGAGAAGGGGAAAAGCTCAGTGGCATACGTACAAGAAGATGGCGATGCTGAAGGCCATGACGCAGAAGAGTATGATGATGGAGAGGACGGTGAAGAACAGTATGTCTTCTTGGACGAAGGCGACATGGACCGCATCTTCGAAGAGCCGGAGATTCAGGTGGTGCTTGCCTCCTATCAGGAGGTTCGGAAGGCGATCCAGAACAAGCAGAAGGGCAGGCAATTTTTCAAAGGAGGAAAAGGGCGAGGCTCACCTTGGCAGAATTTTACCAAGGGCAAACAGAGGGTCCACGTGGAGCAGTTGAAACTGCGCACCAGGTGCGCTCGGTGCGGGGCCATTGGGCATTGGGCTCGCGAGTGCCGCGCGCCTGAAGATCAGCGTGGCCGCCTTGCGAGTGCTGCCATGTCATCGAAGACATCTGGCTCATCGGCACCGAGCACTACAAGTGGAGGTCAGCAGTCTTGGTATGTGGCATCTGAACCAAGTGGAACCTCGTCGTTTTGTTGTTTAAGTTTTTCTTTTGAGTGTAGGGGAAATGACACTCAATCAGTTTCTGAGTCCAAGTGTTCACGCAATGCATGTTGGGAATGCAGCAAAGAAGTTGGATCTCAGGATAGCTCTCTCGGTTGTGATGTGAGAGACAGTTTAGATGTTTTTGTAGGGTCAAAATTGGCATTTTGCCAAAGCGACCAGAGCCGAAGTCACCACTACTTTGTCGGCCTGACAACTTGCCCGACTATGGCACTTGTGGACACAGCAGCTCAAGATGGGCTAGTTGGTCGGGAAGCTTTGCAGAGGCTGTCGCAAAAGTTGCAGAGTTTTGGTTTGAGGGTGAAGTGGACAGATAAGAAGGCAAAAGCGCATGGAGTAGGAGGTCAAGCAGAGGTTCATGGAATAGCAGCAATACCATTAGGGTTAGCAGGATCTTCTGGTGTTTTGGAAGTGACAGTTGTCAGTGGAGATGTTCCTCTTTTACTCCCCATCCGCATGTTGAAAGAGTTGCAAGCTGTGATTGATTTGGAGAGCAGCCGCATGACATTGAAACGTTTGAGACAGTCAGTTGAGTTGCATACCATGCCGAGTGGACATGTTGCGGTTGACATCCTGAATTTTGGTCCAGAAGGTTTTTCATTTCCTCAACAAGCAAGAGACGTTGGATATGCAGAACATGATTTCCGTTGTGACGGAAGCTCAGGCTCGAGTTGCGTGATGCTTACCCATTTGCAGTCTCTTGCGACCAGCTTCAACCATGGTGGATCGTTTAGCGCTGTTCCGCCGTGCCTTCAACCGGAGCCCTGGAGATGTTACGATGGCAAGTGGGGGTACGGTGAGTATGCACCACAACCCCAGGAGGGCAATGGCACATTGGAGGCAATTGCTGGACAAGGTTTCTCTTGTGCAGACCTTGGTTGGGCTGGAGGAGTCAGTGAATTCGTGGCTTCCGTCCGATGCGACGGGAGCGCCAGCTTCGTCTCAAATATCCTCAAGGCAGTTGGCAGAGTTGATCCAAGACGCACCCAAGTTGACGCCGCTGAAGACCAAGGTTGCTGCGTTGGTGGAGCCAGAACACTGTGCGCATGTGGAAGAGCGGCTCACAGCGGCATCCAACCAGTACCAGACTTGGGCCATATGCTGGGATTGTCACTCCCGTTGGAAGCTTCCAATGGAGTGGCATCGGACAGCCAGTCCGAAGAAGCCACGCGCCAAGACAAGCGCGTCGAGCTCAGCGGCAGAGGCATTCAAGAAGGAGATCCAAGGTCGAATGGAGGCGGAGATGCGAGCAGAGTTTGCACACAAAGTCCAAGAGCAAGCCTTGAACAGCCAGAGCATGATGCTGCAGCTGCGCTCGACACACGCCGAGGTCGACCAGATGAGGGAGCGTCTGAGCAATCAGGCAATGGCCAACTTGGAGGAGATGGGTCAGTTGCAGTGTGCAATCGAGGAGGACACAAGGATGAAGGCACAGCTATCTCAGATGAGGTGGAATCAGGAGGTGCAACAGATCATGATGAACGAGTACGCCACAATGGCGATGGGACAGAGGTTCCAAGATCACCCCGACTTCCATCACAACGAGATGCACATGTATGCAGAAAGAATTCTACGTGCGGAGGAGGAGACCCGGAGGGAGTCCAGGATTGCGGAAGCCCTGCGCATGGAGAGTCAGGAGGAGGCGTTAGCCCGGGGCAGCAGAATGGTGAAGAAGCCACAGAGCAAGTCTCCGACAAGGTCGAGAGCGGCATCCCAACCCAGGAGGTCTGGGTGAGGCTGACAGGAGATGGAATGGCTGAACGTGTTGAGGAGTTCAGTCGCTGTCCGCATTTTGGCATCCAGGATGTGTTTGTGAAGGATGGCAATGAGGCCTTTGCGATTGCTGATGTTGAAGAGCTGGTTTTTGAAGATGAGTGTTTTGTTGTTTTGCGAAAGAGTGCCAAAGATGCGGCTGAGGATTGGCTTCCAGAGGTGGAGGAAACAGCACTTCCCCGCAAGACCAAGAAGCAGCTGCGTAGGGCCTTGAATGATGGAGTTATGAATCAAGTTTTCGCTGTCGAGGTCAGCGAAGAGAGCAGCTCACCGAGAGAGGTGGCTGAAGTCTCCAGTGATGAAGTTTCCAGTTCAACATGCGCTGTCGAGGTCAGCGCAAATGATGGCGTACCGAGAGAGGTGGCCATCGAGCAGGGTGCTGAAGATGCACTCGCTGTCGAGATCAGCGAGGTTTATAGCCCGCCGAGAGTGGCGGCTATGGCAAAAAGGTACAAACTCAAAGTTGGGAAGTCGTACGACATCTTGACGGGGTACGACCTGCGGCTCAAAAGAGATTTGAATCGAATGTGGCGTAGTCTGAGTGAAGATGAGCCAGAGCTGGCCGTTATCAGCCCGCCGTGCACGCCGTTCTCCCCACTCCAACAGTGGAACTTCCCTCGAATGCTCTTTGAGAAGGTTGCCGTGATGATTGGAGAAGGTTTGCATCATGTCTCCATAGCATGCAAGGTGGCAAAGTGGCAGCATTCTCATGGGAGGTTGTTCGTCTTTGAGCACCCTAAACCTTCAAAGGCTTGGGATGAACCTGAGATGTTGGAGTTGATGATGTTGCCAGGCGTCTATGTTTGCGTGGTTGATCAATGTGAGTACGGCTTACAAGTCGGATCTGGGCTCAACAAAAAGACCACTCAGTTTGTCGTCAATTCAATCCACATAGCTGCCGAGCTTCAGCGCCGCTGCAGTGGCGAACACCAACATGAACCGCTGACCAACGGTCGAGCGGCCAAAGCGGCCATTTATCCACCAGAAAGCGGCCATTTATCCACCAGAGCAGCAGAGCCTTGATCCGAGGTTTGAAGAAGCATCTTCGGGCCAAAAGAGGGCAAAACTCAGTTTTTCTTGAAGTTCCAGAGGAGATAGCTGTTTTAGCTACGGGCAGTCAAGCAGTTGGGCATGAGTTGGATGAGTTTGAGGACATATTGCCTCAAGAGGTTGCCGAGCACAGACAGGCAACCAGGGCTGCTAGGAGACTTCAAGTGGCTGAGAGAGCAGAGGTAGCAGTTGCAGAGGAAGACAAGCTCAAGATCCGAAAGATGCACAACAACCTGGGTCACCCTGCATTAGACAGTTTTGTCAGGTTTCTGCGTGCTGGAAGAGTGCGTGATGAGGTGGTACGATGGGTTCTCAAGGAGTTCAAGTGTGAGACATGCAGCAGTCAAGCTATCCCCAAAGCTCCAAGACCTGCTGTTGTCCCAAAGTGCTACAAGCCTGGAGTTGCAGTGGGGATAGATCTTTTCTACATTCCTGACCCTCAGAACGTCAGGTCACTCCCAGTGCTGAATGTGGTGGACGTTGGCACGAACTACCAGGTCATTGAGTTGCTGGAAAACAAGGATCCACTCAGCGTTTGGCGAGCGTTTTGGGCATGCTGGTGCAGAGTTTTTGGGGCACCTCAGTATCTGACTGTTGATGAGGGACTCGAGTTCAGAGGCGAGTTCACTCAATGGTGCTCAAACTATGGCATTCTGATCTTTAGATCAGCAGCTCGGTCTCCCTGGCAACAGGGCAAAGTGGAGCGTCATGGTGGCCTGATGAAGACCATGATCGAGCATGCCAGAGCAGCTACACCCATTGAGAGCGTTCAGGATCTCAAGCTGCTGTTGCAGGAGTGCGAAAGCGCAAAGAACAGGTTCATGAATCGCTCAGGATACAGTCCAGTGCAGAGGCAGATTGGGCAGTGGCCTCGTTTGCCAGGGTCACTTATGAGCGATGAGTTCTTGGACCCGGCGCTTCAGCTTCAGAACGCGTCGGACGAGTTCGATCGTCTGCTTGAGCTCAGGCGTTTGGCGCAGGAGGCCTTCGTTGAACTTGCAAGCAAAGAAGCAGCTGTGAAATCATTGAGGGCGAGATCAAGGCCACAGCGAGTTTTCAAGACAGGCGATGTGGTGTACGTGTTCCGAGCTCTTCGGAAGAAGAAGAGTGTGCATGGGCAGCAAGCAGCCCGAGGCCATGGCATGGGCCGCAAAGCCACTTGGGTCGGTCCTGGACACGTTCTTGCGCTTGAAGGTTCTGTGGTGTGGATCAATATGTTTGGTGAGTTGTGGCGAGCTTCTGTTGAGCAGACGCGTGAAGCCACGACCATGGAGAAGCTTGGAGTAGAGATGGTGGCAGAAGGTTTTCAAGAGATGCAGGAGAGGTTGAAGAGGAGTTCACATAGAGCGGGCTACAGAGATGTAACCCGGGACATGGAAGAGCTTGATGTTGAGGAGGAAGGAGAACAGCGTGGTCAGCCAAGGGTTCGTTTTGCCTTGCAAGATGATGTGACCACACATCCTGCACAAGGTCCTTCATTGCCGCTACAAGATCTGCCCGCTGTGCCTGAAGAAAGTGAGGAAGAGTCAAATGAGGGATCAACACCCCATCATGATACCAGAAGGGCCTCAAGGGCGACCGTGCCTGAACCAGATGCAGAAGGTGAAGTGATTCAAATGAATGAGGCCGATGTTCAGAGAGAGTTTGACAGGCAAGCAGAGGAGGAAGCAATAGAGAGTATGGCAGAGTCGGTTCAGGCAAATCAGACTCTTGACGGTTTGATCAATGGCTATGAAGCAGCTAGGCAAGCGGTTACGTCAAGATGGCAGCAAAGAGGAACAGCACCTTACTTTGCCGAGTTCTTTTTGCAAACCGACGGTCCTGAAGCAAATGAGGTCGAGGAAGATCCCAAGCGGGATTATTGGGCATATGATGAGTGCCGAGGCATTTTGCAACGGCACCATGTGCACTGGCGCAAAGCTCTCTTCAGCCCAGCACAGATTGAGGGTTGTCCAGTTCCTTTGAGAGCAATACGTGCCAGCCGAAAGACACAGAGGATCGAAGCCTCAGGAGAGGTTCATGAAGTTTCAGATGAGTGGTCCCTTTTTACGAAGAAAGAAGATCGACATACGTGGTGGAAGGGCATCACAGAGTTTGCAGTGGACAAACATTATCTGCAAACGTTCAAAGGACCACAGTTCAAAAAGCGAGGTGAAGGCGAAGTGTTTGCACATGAGATCCCGGCTGAGGAGTGGCCGGAATGGAAAGTTCAAGATGCGGAGGAGTTTGGAAAGATCGTTTCAAGTGGCGCTTTGAGGGTTCTGAGCGTGGAAGAAAGCGCTCAGGTACAGAAGGACCTTAGAGAAAAGGGTCAACTCAACAGGATTTTGCCAAGCAGGATGGTCAGGCGTTACAAACCAGGAGATAGCCCGGGAGCGCCAAGGACGAAAAAGTCTCGTTTCTGCATCCGAGGAGACAAAGACCCAGACATAGCTGATCTGTCGAGGTTTGCACCGACAGTCACCACCTCCAACTTGCAAGTGCTTGTTCAGGCAGCCATGAACAAAAAGTTCCGTGGCGTTGTGGGAGACCTCAAAGCGGCGTTTACACAAAGCATGCCGCTATGCCGCAGCGCTGGGAAACTTTACTGCAAGTCAAGCGAAGGCAGTATGCCTGGTTTGGAGGAGGGGCAAATAGCAGAGATTGTCTTGGGTTGCTATGGTCTTTGTGATGCTCCGATGCACTGGAGAAAGACTTTGGTGCGGTTTCTCAAAGAAGAGCTGGGTTACAAACAGAGCTGCTTAGATCCTTGCACCTTTCTTCTACATGGCACAAATGGTTTGCATGGAATGGTGGCGGTTGAAATAGACGACCTGCTGATGTTTGGTGACGAAGTTCACGAAGCAAAAATGGCCTTACTTCAAAAGAAGTTCACATTTGGGAAAATTCAGACCATTGATGAGAGCGGTGTCAACTTTAATGGCAGGAGATTGCGCCGCTTCGACGACACGATGGTCATTGACATGAAGGCCTTTGTGGAGGAGCGATTGAGTCCTGTGCCCTTGAGCAAAGAGCGTTCGAAGCAGAGACAGGAGAGATTGACGGAGGAAGAGATCGGAGAAGTCCGCAAGACATGCGGGTCCTTGAACTGGGCAGGCCGTGAAGGCCGACCTGATGCGGCAGCCGCTGCATCCATGTTCGCATCTCTCATGAAGGAGATGACAGTCTCCGACGTCCTCGAGCTGAACCGCGTTGTGGAGCGCCTCAAGCAGTCCTCGGAGCTGGCATTGAAGATTCAGCGGATCGAGGATATGTGCTGGGGGGTCATATCTGACGCCTCTTGGGCCAATGCAAGAGGAGGCAAAACACAAGGCGGGCATATGCTCGTCACATTTGACCGGAGCATGCTGGATGGTCATCGAGCAATATGTAACCTTCTGCATTGGAAGAGTGGAAAATTGCATCGCACAGTCAATAGCACGCTGGCAGCGGAGACGCAATCACTGGCGAGGGGAATAGGAGACCTCTTGTGGATGATGGTGATGTACTTCGAGATCACCATCCCAGACTTTCAATTGCGTGACTGGCGGAAGCATATCCATCGGAGCGGGTATACCGCCTTTTCCAAGAATGAGGAAGAGCAGATGGCTGACGCATTGGCTTTGGTGGATGCGAAATCTCTCTATGACTTGCTAGCGCATGAGACGAGTGGCGGCAATGATCGAAGGACGGCTCTGGATGTGCAGATGTTACGAGAAGAACTGAGCGAGCTGCACGGTAGGATCCGTTGGATAGATCATGTCCACATGCCAGCAGATTGCCTGACGAAACGTTCAGGCAGAATTGACTCGCTTTTGGAGATGTTACGTACAGGGAAGTTTGGCATCACCGAAGAGTCTGCAACCTTAGAGAATAGGCTTGAGACGCGTAGGCAAACTGGATATAATCGTAGATGATCACGCTTTGGTCAACATAATTTTCTGGGTGCTGTGAATTCAGCATGCCTTTGACCAAAGCATTGCCTTGTGATTTCAGGTCTGACATGTTTGCATAGCCTTTTAGGCGCAGATGATTGCCCTTAGGTGGGCCTCGCAGTTCCAGCGAAAAGCGTCCGTGCTCCATCCGCTACCACTGGGCTGAAGCTCACACGGACATAATTGCTGATGATGGCGAAGGGTGGTGAACTGATGGAATTTGCGTCGCCAACCCTGAATTGCATCCAATTTGAGAAGTGTTGCACCCCCTTAGGGGCGATGCCTCAGTGGAACCTTGAGCAACTAGAGAGACCAGACAAATTGAGACTGCATATGTAGCCACGACAGGAGCCAAACACATGCGCGGCATACGTAAGCTTGGAGAATGCTCAATACATTTGTTAAAGAAGAATTTGACATTAAGGGAGCACCCAACATCCCCCAGAATAAATGTAAAAGCACTGTTGCAATGTAAAGCAATGTAACGCAGTTCTCATGGCCAGCAGTGGTACAGCTCTCCACTTTCCATCTGCTGGGTTGCTTGTCTCAGATTCTCAGATTTTGCACCATTTGCACTGAATCTTCACTATCAAAGCTACAATTTGTCGCATACTTGCGGCAGCACAATGGCATAACATGGCACAATATTATACGTGTTGAACATGTTTCAATGGTAATTGTGCGGAAAACGTATGAGGATATGGGATATCCATGGATCTCCAATGTTTTGATTCGTGGTTTCATTCCTGGTTTGTGTCCAATGCAAAGGCTGCCGATCAGCCCCAGTGCACTGTCAGGTCAGGCACTTAAGACTTACAAGGAAACCTGAAACTTTGTTGAAACTTATTGAGTTTAGCATTGCAGTTGGATGCATTATCCGGCAGGCTTCCAGCGGTTGGTTTGCTGAGCGTTGGCAACGGGTTCAGGGGTTCCAGAATCCTTTTCAAAAGTTCTTGGTACAACACGGTTTGCGAATTCTGATTTTTCCAAACAAAAGGTGCCGAAGAAGGCTTTCATGGTTTCAGAATTTATTTGCAACAGGCCTGGTTCCATGCACTGTCTCAGCAGTCTCGTAAATGTGGATCAAAGAACTGCTTCCGTTTATATCATTTTATATCTAGTACCAGTAGTACCGCACAAGGCGGTGGCGGAAGTTTCAAAAATAGGAAACCTATAGGAGAGATTGGTTGTTGTGAATCACGGATGGCAGAGCGAATCCACTGATGGACCGAAAGGTGGTTGGAGCTGTGTTTTTTTGGAGTGGCTGCAATGGTTGCAGTGGTCACCCGGTCACCTCACCCACAACTGCTGGATGTAGTGTGGTGTAGCGCAGCTGTAGTTGTAGTTGTAGTGGAGTTGTAGTTATGGTGTAGTGTAATTGGTGTAGTGTAGTTGCAGTTGCATTTGTGGTGGTGTAATGAGTGTATTGTAATGTATTGTTCTGTAATGCAATGTGGGGTAGGGTAGTGTAGTGTAGTGCAATTGAGTGTAGTGTGGTGTAGTGTAATGTAGTGTAGTGTAATGCAATTAGTGTAGTGTAGTCCAGTCTAGTGTAGTGCAGCGTAATGCAATTAGTGCAGTGTAGTTGTGGTTGTGGTTGTCGTTGTGGTTGTAGTTGTAGTTGTAGTTGTAGTAGTATAGTGTTATGTAATGTATTGTAGTTGTAGGTGTGGTTGTAGTTGCAGTTGTAGTTGTAGTTAGTGTAGTGTAGTGTAGGGTCGCGTGGTGTAGTGTAGTCTAGTCTAGTCTAGTGTAGTGTAGTGTAGTGTAATTGAGTGTAGTGTACTGCAGTGTAGTGGAATGTAGTGTAGTGAGGTGTAGTGTAGTGGAGTGGGGTGTAGCGTAGTGCAGTGTAGTGTAATTTAATTAGTGTAGCGTAGTGTAGTCTTATGTAGCTGTAGTCGTAGTTAGTGTGATGTAGTGTAGTGTAGTGTGGTGTTGTGTGGTGTGGTGTAGCGTGGTGTAGTGTAGTGTAGTGTAGCGTAATGTCATTAGTGTAGTGTAATGTAGTGTAGCTGCAGTTGCAGTTGCAGCTGTAGTTGTAGTTGTAGGTGTAGTGCAGTGTCATTCAGCGTAGTGTAGTGGAGTGTAGTGTAGTGTAGTGTAATTAGTGTAGCGTAGTGTAGCGTAGTGTAAATCTAGTATTGTTGTTGTTGTTGTTGTAGTTGTAGTTAGTGTAGTGTAGTGTAGTGTAATGTAGTGGAATGTAGTGTAGTGTAATGTAGTGTAGTGTAGTGGAATGTGGTGTAGTGCAGTTTAGTGTAGTGTGGTGTGTGTAGTGTAGTGTAGTGTAGCGTCCTGGAGTGTAGTGGAATGCAGTGAAGGTGTAGTTGTAGTTGTAGTGTAGTGTATTGGAGTGTAGTGTGATGTAATTAGTGGTGGTTGTAGTTGAAAATGCTACAAAACTTCACGTTTTGCTCACTTTTGACAAGGTGCACAATCCCTTGCGCCTGCCACGTGAAACCACACCTGAACGTCCAAATGTGGTGCGAACATGTTGTGCTTTTAACATTTTGACTTCGAAATGTGCTTCGCGCCACAACGGCGTGCACTTTTTAGACATCTCAACTTCCAAAAGTGGTCCGAACATGGTGTGTTTTGTGCATTTTGACTTCGAAATGTGCTTCGCGCCACAACGGCGTGCACTTTTTAGACATCTCAACTTCCAAAAGTGGTCCAAACGTGAAGTGCTTTTAGTTTTTTCACTTGCAAATGTGCTTCGCGCCACAACGGCGTGCACTTTTTCGACATCTCAACTTCCAAAGGTGGTCCAAACCCGTGGTGTTTTTAACATTTTGACTTCGAAACGTGCTTCGCGCCACAACGGCGTGCACTTTTTCGACATCTCAATTTCCAAAAGTGGTCCGAACGTGAAGTGCTTTTAGTTTTTTCACTTGCAAATGTGCTTCGCGCCACAACGGCGTGCACTTTTTCGACATCTCAACTTCCAAAAGTGGTCCAAACCTGGTGTGTTTTGTACATTTCGACTTCGAAATGTGCTTCGCGCCACAACGGCGTGCACTTTTTCGACATCTCAACTTCCAAAAGTGGTCCAAACCTGGTGTGTTTTGTACATTTCGACTTCGAAATGTGCTTCGCGCCACAACGGCATGCACTTTTTGGACATCGCAACTTCCAAAAGTGGTCCGGGCATGTGGTGCTTTGTACATTTTGACTTGGAAATGTGCTTCGTGCCACAACGGCGTGCAATTTTTCATCTCTCATCTGGCCAGATGGCTCCGCACCCGCCGCTTTAGCGAGCCTACTTTTCGACCCCCCGGAGCCACAAGTAATTGGAAAAACACAGTGTTTCGCGACTTTCCTACCTTTTCGCGCACCTGCATCTTCTTTCTTCTGACTCTTTCTCTTCTCTGATCTTCTCTCTTCTGCTCTTCTCTCTTCTACTCTTCTCTTCTCTCTGACTCTTCCCATCCCTGCTTTTCATCTATCCATACTGTCGGAAGTTTAACTTCTAAACTTCCTTCGAATACCGTAGTACCTGATTGTCATACCTTCCCGGGCTCTGTTTGACCGTTGCGCAGTTACTCAATGAACACTGGATCGCCTTGCATCCGTATCCACTTGTACATTTTATCTATATGCACATATTTTTATGATTCTATATATATATATGTGTGTGTATACATATATATATATGTATATATGTATACACACATATATATATATATACAATTATATGTGTGTATAATAATGTATAAATATACATATTAATATATATACATATATATATACAATTATATGTGTGTATAAATATATATATATATACACATACGTATATGTCTTCAAGTATGCAGCACGAATTCTCCCCAGGCCGCCGGCAGTTGCCGCGCTTGCACCTGCCATGTACCACACAGGCACCGCAAACAAGGGCACAAGATGGGACTGATGAGGACTGATGTGGCTACTGCCTACTTTGTACTAGTCGCTACTTCATACTACTTTATTATCCTTCAGTCAAACATATTCGAACCCAATCAGAAAGGCAAAGAGAAGTCAGACAGATTCAAACAGAGTTTGGCTGCGATTTCCTTCTGGGCCCTGATGCAAGGCGGGAGGCCTACAGCCACGGGCCATGTCTCCCAATGTTGCCGAAGAGCAGGACAGCTGGGCTCCGCAAATCAAACAGCCTTCAGAATATACGACTATATACGCGAAGTCAAAATGGCAAGAAACCAGGGCGAATCGCAGAGCTTGGAAGGCCAGCGAAACAGGCATTCGACTAATTTGCTGAGCCAAACCAACTATATGCACTCTCATTAATCCGTTGCTGTCCCTGCATTCCTTGCAGCATCTTGCAGCTGGGTTATGGTTGATTGAAGCAAAGAATTAATGTATGAGTTTATTTGGCGGTTGCGCTTTCGAATTTTGAATGCTGCACCCACTCTGAGATATCTGAAGTATATTGAAATTTGGCCAACACACCACACTCCTTGACTTGGTTATCAACTTGTGGAGTCCCAGAGTTCTTCTGGGCTGACACGGAATAAGGGATGAAGCGGAACAAAAGCACAGGCAGTTTGAAGAGCCGCACATGTTTAAGAACCTCCTTGGCCGAAAAACACGGCCTGGAAGTTCGCAGGGCTTTTTGACTGCCAATCTCAAGTCGGTAAACCGTCCACCAAATTGCGGTTGCAGAGCCCAGCAGACTTCTAGGGATACGTTGTGGAGCCGGATGAGCTCTTTGATACCTGGAGACGTTTTTTGTGAGAACACGTGAGAAGATGCCGGGTCAGTCTCGGTTATTCCTGGTTGTGCAGCGTGCGGCGCGGACAGATTTTGTCGTTAGTGTGTTGCTCTGTATAACCGGCACCTTTCAATACATGAGAATGCTCCATCAGCCCTTTCCGGCATGGTGTATACTAACGTATACCAAGGAATCACCCTCAGTTCTTAAAGTCCTTTGCACCCTGATCAAGTTTGGTTTGGTTAGCTTTTCTGTATCATGTTTGTCGCAGAGTGCACCTTGTCCTACTCTTGGTCTCACTCTTTGTCAACGAATGCATGGTGCGCGGCATCTCTGAGCGATTGTATTTTGTGTCCTGCCGGATCTGGGACGAATGTGCAAGAGATAGAGAGAGAGAGAGAGAGTGAGAGAGAGAGAGAGAGCTGTGCAATGAAGGGAACTTTCTCAACACCCCTCACATTGGTGCAAGTGGGCTGTAGTCAGCTGTTGCGTGAAGAAGACTGCAAACAACATGTTCAATTTGCAGTCAGCTTGTACTTAGCAATTGGATCAGGCCTTGCCGCACTTCCAGGATGCCTACAAATTAGGCGGAGTCCAGCTGAGCTTACCTTGGGATGTCAAGACTTCTTTAAGATTGTGTCTATCTTTCTACTTCAAGATGCTCCCAGTGCGTAGAGAGACAATCCGAGCAGCTTTCCACACCTTTCCACCCTTTGCCAAATGCTTTGACAACCGCTGTCAGGCGAATTCCTGGGATCGGGCAGCATGTCTGTCGTGCGGCGGTCAATTTCTTAGACCAAGTCCACGCTGCTCCAGATGCATTTTCAACATGTCTTGGCACATTTCTTGATACATGTCTCAACATTTCTCAACTGTTAATGGGTTCGACACACCTTCCCATCATATGAGACCAAGCGTGACATCAGGTGTGTGCGGAAGGTGGACAGCCAAACCTTTGCCGTCTCGCCATCTGAATTTGGGGAGTGAGTGAACCATCGCTTGGATGTATGTGGACTGTAACACTAATGTGACAAGATAAAGATGATAAAGAAAGATCATGCAAGCATATCTTGTCAGTGAATCTTGTACTTTGGAAGCCGAACACGGAGTGCCTTTCCTTAGTACCAGGTCAAATGCATTACTGCCATCGATGAAGAAGTTCGGCAATTTAGTCGTGACGAGTTCCCCGGTCGAACTGATTTGCCGAATTTGCAGAACTCGAAAGGGCAAATGTAAACCAGGGCTTCCAGTATCTTCCAATCTTCTCTAATTACCAATGTTGTTACTTTTGTTCGTAGTTCGGTGTAATGTGATATGTTGTAGTTCATGTTTGTGTTCGATATTCTACATCTTTCTACAGTATCAGGTGGCGTTCGCCTCGGACTGGATTCAACGCAAACCTTGTAAAGGAATGTAAAGAAACTACGTTGAAATTTCGCTCATGACTTGTCATGTTAGAGTTTGTGCACTTGATGTTGTTTAGGATCAAGTCCCCCCTTCATGTGAAATTGTTTAGGTAGTAGGGGGCAATGGCTGGCGCCATCCCTGTCGATGCTGGCCGGGGCGGAGAGGCGGTGAGCCTACTGAAGGCCCTGGAGAAGTTCGGGCTGGTAGGGCCTGGCAGTGTCGGCAGGGACGGAAGAGACCCTAGCAAAGCAGCTGGTGGAGCACCTGGGTATCACCTACAAGGACTGGTGCGGGGCCAGGTGGAATCAGCAAAGCAGATGGAAGACCTGGATAACCGGCTGCAGGGGTCGACAGCGTCATCCTCCCACCAGATGATGATGGATGCGGCGTGGAGCCATGAGAAGGAGAAGGCAGAAAGACGCATGGCAGAGAAGGAAGAAGCCGCTGCTGCACTCTTAGTGTTCAAGAGGGGGACGCTTGAACCATTGGAAAAAGTGTTCGGGTGAGAACTGGAAGGGTAGTAACCGAAGATGAAGCGGAGGAGAAGGTGCTGCGTATACTTGTCAAGGAGCTGACGGAGATGGGGGCACCGGTGTTGCTGGAGATGGAGAGCACGGCGCGTCCAGAGAGGACCATCAACGCCTTGATGGGAAAATACCGGGCACTTGCGCAGATTGCTGTGTCACGAGCGGTGTCGTGGTTCCAGCAGATGGCAGGGATTCCTGGTGGTCAGAGGCTTGCAGACAATCAGGCCGTGGATCTGGTCGTGAAGGACCTTGTGAAAAAGCTCGAGAGGAAGGGAGCGCCAATCCAGCGAGCGCCTCGCTGGTTGACTATGACTATGATGATTGGGCTGATGGAGAGCCTAGTCATGGACCGCAAGGCGCCCTTGGGTAGGACAGTGGCCGCTTGGAAGAAGCTGGTCAAAGTTTGGGGGGCCTTGCGTTTCAGTGATGCAGCCAACATGAAGGTGAAGGCTGTCAGGTTCTATGATGGAAAGCTCACAGCAACCCTGCAAAAGACGAAGACAACCGGTGCAGGGAAGAGAGTGAGAGAGCTTCCTCTTTACATCAGCCAGGAGGCCTACGTGTCGGAGTTGGCATGGCTGGAGATTGGGTATAACCTGGTGAAGAGGACCTGGAGGGATGAGGGCGAATACGTCTTCAACGAGGGTGCCTTTGATGGGCCAGACAGGAGTTGGGCCTATGAAGTACTACGAGGCCTCAGCAAGCAGCGACGTGATCTCCTTTATGAAGGGGAACGGATTTTCCCCGAGAACTTCGACCGCTTTTGGTTGGAGCATTTAGGGCGCTCTACACTGCCTAGCTGTCTGGCAGCTATAGGGGCCAGCAAGACGGACAGGGACTTGATTGGCCATTCGCAGCGTTCTTGAAAACCCAAGGAATAAATTATTGCACACTGGGAGGTCGACCGGCGGTAGAAAATGCCGCGGAGGCGTTCAAGAGGAAGGTGCAAGTCCTCTCAGCGGCGGAGACTACGACGGATCTGGCTTCTTCCGAATCCGGCAGTGACAAGAGCTGGGAGGTGTGTGCCGATGGCAAGAGAGCCAAGGTTGAGAAGAAGGGCAATAGGAGCGCAAAGCTTGAGGAGCTCGCCAAGAAGAGTGAGAAGAAGCCCCCAAGGAGAGAAAGTTCCAGAAGTTGGCAGAAGAGAGGCAGGGGGCTGCTTGGACCGGATGCCTGTTGGATGGCAAGGAAGAGAAGCTTCGCCAAGGCCGAGGTCTATGAAGAGTGTCCGGACCCGCAGTACTACTCCACGTGGTGCAAATTGTGCTGGCGGAAGGAAGCCGAGAAGGCCCCCGAGTCCACAAGTGATTCGATCGATGACTTGGACATGTCGGATGTCATTAACGGCTAAAAATGCGCGCAATGATTGCCCATGGCGCCCCATGGCCGAGATGGGAAGGGGGAGTGGCATGTTGTTTGGCATGGAAGGCACCCCCTCATCACCCCCCTTGTTTTCCGTCATTGCATCTCCCAACGTGAGGCGGGGGATGCCGGGTACCGGCCCCGTGGGCGGAGAGCAAACCCACCGCCACTGGAGGCGAGACGGTATGGGGTAGGGGCATGGGAAGCAGAGCCTTGCAAAGTGCAATTGAGTTGCGTAGTGCTGGAGCAAGAGGAGGCGGCTGATGAGGCTGGAGGAGCAGACCTCAAGTACCTGTTGGCGAGGCAGGGGGTGAAGATAGAGAACCAGAGAATCTTCTTCCACCATGGGATCACCACCGTTGAAAAGCTAGTCTCCCTTGCAAAAGACAGGGAGGACCTGGTACAGGCATTGAAGGACCACTGGGATCTGGACCAGACACCGTCATTGACTGAGAGGGCGCAGGTAGCAGCAATTGCTTGCGCCTTCTCCAATGCGTCCTCAAGATCCCAGAAAGCGGCGGAGGTGGATGCCGAGCAGGAGGGTCCAAGATAGGGCAAAAGCGTTGGTGGCAAGTGAATGGGCTCCAATGAGGCAAGTTCTGGAAAAGCGCTATGGACAGATGGAAGGCAAGGACACCCCGGCGAAGGAGTACGTTGAAAAGAAACTGGCGGAAGTTGAAGGGGGTGAATACAGAGCTGAGCCTTTGACGGAGGTGGTCTCCAAGGATGAAGTTGACCCCGGAATGCAAAAGGTAAAGGATGGTAAAGGAGCCTGCAAATGCGGAGGAGTTGAGAAGGCGGTTGACGATCATGAGAAATGCCATGGTCATTGTGTCATTGAAGCACACCAACCGTACGGAATTGCAGGGCGACTATGAAAGGACGGTGGAGGATTACAAGAACTACATATTGGGGGAATAATATGGTCTGGTCGCCAAGGATGAGGAGGGCAACACAGTAGCAATTCCGCCGTGGAGCCTTGTGCGCTCTCATACGAGCACGCGGTGAGAAGGCAGGCGGCCAAGCTGGTGAATAGGGGAGGAAAAACGTGGGTGGTTGCAGTCAAAGCAGCATGGAAGGATGCCACGGTGAAGGAGCGGCACTTCACTACGCCGCTGGCCGTTTATGCAAAGCGCCCCCCACCGCCCAGCCAGCTAAGCAGCAGGAGGGTGGCAAGAAAGGCAAAAGCAAAGGGAAGCCTGCACGATAAGGAGGGCACTGTGCGTCCCACACACCACAAGGAGACCTATTGTGCTACAGGTTCAACTCGGGGGAGAAATGCAAGGAAAAGAAGTCCAAGTACAAGCATGTGCGGCATTTGTTTCTCCCCCAAGCATGCGCTCCCAGAATGTACTTCGAAGAACAGGCAAGACCCCGAGAGGGACACTCAGGGGGCAGGAATGGGCAGGAGCAGCCTGAGGACGGCTGAAGGTCCTCTACGTCTTTAGTGGGCGTAAGAGGGGGAATTCAGTGGGAGGATACCTGAGGAATCTTTCCAAGAAGCATGGGGTTGAGGTTGAAGTTGTTGAGTTGGATATCCAAAGGAAACAGCGAGACGACTTCTCCCTGCAGCATGTCCAGAAGCGGTGGCTGCAGCGTATCACCAACGGCGAATTTTTTGCTGTCATTGTTACTCCCCCCATGTGCACCACCCAAGTGGATTTCTTTGGAACAGCCAAGCTCGAGCAGAAAGGGCAGAGCTTGGAAATATTTTGGGCAATTTTTCCTTTGAAGCAATGAGGAGGCAGGCAAAACATCATGAGCATGTCGGCATGATGGAACAGCCAGAGGACTTAGGCAAGACAAGGTATGAAAGAATACCACAACATCAGCCGGCATCCATGTGGCAGTTCCCGCCATTTGAGCTTGCGTTGCGAGAGGGTATGAGGACGTGCGTGTTTTCACAGCTGGATTGTGGCAGTGAGTCGGTGAAGCCCACACTGGCTTCTACTGAAGCTTCGAGACCCCCTACCTGGAATCATGTTCGAAGGCAGGCCAACTTTCAACACCGAAGGTTTTTATGTTGGGCACTGCCTCAGAGAGAGGGTGCCGCTCTCATTGGACGGCACCAAGGCAGCTTCCGCACTGTGGCCGCTGCAGCATGGCCGGGTGCCCTGTGTAAGTGGGCTGCAATCATTGCCGCGTACCGCAAGTACAGTGCCATGCAGGAAGGGGAAGGCAATGGCAATAAGAAGAGGCCCCTTTTGGACAAGGAGAATCCAGAGGAGGCAAAGAGAAGGCAGCTGGAGGAGGAGCAGCCGGTTGATCCTATGAAGCCGTTATTTTCCGGAGGAGATGGCCCCCCGAGGAGCTGTACATGGAAGGGGTATCAGACACCGTTCCAGGATGGGGGATCTTCCATCACCAGGCTGGTGGAGGAGAGACAAAAGAAGATTCCCCATGTCAAAAGGCTGGAGGGAACTCAGCAGGCGTCTGGAGAAGGTAGTTACAGAGCATGTAGGTGGTCTGGTGGAGAAGGAATTTTCCCGGATGACACGAGGTGGGCTTACTGGTGGGCCCACGCCTTATACTGGTGGGCCAGATTCAGTGGTGCCCTGATACGATTTACCCACTGTGTCGTGGGACCTAGATTCCTCGTTGAGATGCTGCTTTACGCTAATGACCCGGAAGTGATTGCGCCGGCAAGGGGGGGTAGGATCGGAGCAGTCCTGGTGTTCCTGGTCATGGCTGCGGCGGGCGCACCCTTCAAGTGGCAAAAGCAGTGTGGTGGATGGATCACAGAGCGGGTCGGAGCTTCCACTGACTGCAATAAGCTTGCGCTGGGGCTCTCTGAGCGCTGAGCCGGGAGGCCTGGATTGGAGGGTGGCTGTAGAGTTCTGAGGACACGAAGCAGCGCGCATGGTTTTCAGAGAGGGTGGAACCATGGATGGCGCCGTGGTTGAAGATGAAGAAGGGCAATCCCAAAAGAGTTATAGCGGCTTTCGAGATGTTGGCTTCGCTGGTGGCCATCAAACTCTGGCCTCTGCCTGAAAGATGGCACAAAGAAGCTGAGTGTCCACACTGAGGCCTTCACTGACAACAAGGGGAACGAGTTCATCTTGAAGAAGGGGATATCTACGAAGTTCCCAACTGCGCTGCTGGTCATCGAAGTCAGTGGGACGCTGAGGAGCTTGGGGGCCACGGCTGATCTGAAGTGGATCAGGCAAGAAGAGAATCAGAGGGCAGATGGCCTCACAAATCAAGATTGCCATGCGTTTGAGATGGAAAACAGAATAAGGGTCACGCAGAAAACTGCAAATGGGTGGTCTTAGAGGAGCTGCTGCTTGAAAGCGAGGAGCTTTACAAAGAGGTGCAAAGATATAAGGAGGAGAAGGGGAGTAAGAAGGCAGAGAAGCTGAGGAGAAAGAAAGGAGGACGCAAGTTCTTTGGCAGGTGGAACTTTTCAGACAGGAGACGGGAGGAGCCACTGGTAGGTGCCACCAGTGGCCGGCTTAGGAGTCCCCCCGGAAATCTAAAGGAGGATCTTGCGTCCATCTGAGAAAAAGGATTGCAGCAGCCTGAAACATCTATACTGCATGAACTGCGTAGATTTTGCCGTGAATTAAATGGGACGGGTCAGGAGGGCCTTTCCGGTGCAGATTGGCTTCAAAAACCCCCATGAAAGAAGTTTAAAGACTTTATGCAAACGGTTAACTCTGGTGCTCTCGCGAAAATCAAAACGCAGGCGCAAAAGGGTCGCGCGCTAGTCAATTTGGCTCCGCAAAAGCGAAAACCTTAGTGAAACCAGTTGCTGCAAATGCTCTGCGAAAGCTGAAAAGAAAGAAAGCAGGTGCCCTGTAAAAAAACAAAATGCAGTGGCGAAAGGCCAAGGTTTTTTGAAACTGTTCTTCTGGGATAACGAGCAGAAGTTGTGTTTACATGTTGCAAGAGCAGTACAGTCTAGCAGAACCAGTATGATTCTGCTTCTTTGCACATGTGGTCATGTATGTCAATGTATGGGTTTCAGAATACAGTGAGAAACTTCACCAGCCACATCGAAGCTTGACGTAGCTGTGCAGTCCAGGCAAGCCCTAATTTGCTCATGATTTTCTAGGCATCCAGCGGCAGCATTCACCAGAATATATGTTGCAACGGTGATCGTGAAACCTTTTCAAACTGCAAGTAACAGTACGTTACGAAACATTAAGAAACTTTTTGCAACTTTCATTTCACCTTTCTGAATCCAAGGTACGAACTTGTTCGGACTCTGAGGTGAATGGCTCAGCGCGGCGGGTTATGCTGACCTTAGGTCATTGACCTTGCTACCCTTTTCATCCTTTTCAACATTGCCTTTGTACATTTTACTACCTTTGTCATCAGAATCCGGGCTAGCGGCTACAATGGTGTTTGAAATTATCGCGTTTTTCAATTTTGTCTATGTTTGTCAGTGTGTTATGTGGACGTAGAAGTTTTCAGATACGCTACAGCTACCGACGGCCAGAATTAGTTTGTTGCCGCCTGCCTGTTTGAGGCATCCTGCCATCATTACCTTCAGAGCTTGGTTTGAAGGCAATTTGGCAGCGTGGTCGAATGCACTGTGGTCTCTCTCAGTGCAAAATGACTACCAGGATATTCAGAGCAGCCCATCATGCTTGACCAAGACATGCCAAACCTTTCAAATCCCTTGGGCAGAAACGAACTTGAAAAACGCAACAGAGACCAGGCCCCGTCTCTGCCTGGATTGTCATGGACCTTTGCAGCGGTGGTTCTGTGGAGTCCTTCGTTCGGCGTGAGGCGCATGAACAAAGGCAAAATAAGGGAATAATTTTGCGTTTTGTGATTTGTGATATTTTGCTGCCTTTGCTTTGAAACTTACTTGGCATCTTTGGCAAGTCTTTTCCAATCTGGTCAAGATTGAAAGTTTCGAAACATGGTTAAGGTTTAGATTCTTTTGTATTTGTTTCCGGTGTGGATATTGCACTGTCGCTATGACACAGCTCGTCATGGTTGTGTGATGTTGTGTGGCATTTGCACGGCTTGTTTCTTCAGGGCGCCTTGCGAGAGACACAGGTGCCCAACGGTGCAAGCTCATTTCATTCTTAAAGTCTGTGCAAGTGCAGGGTAACGCTTAGATCAGATTAGTGCTCTCGCATGGCTTCACCTCTTAGCGAAAGCAATGATCCCTGCGTTCTTCAAGCGCATCACGTCGTTTTATCACGTTTAATATTGCCTTATTTGATTAGCAAATGTTGGCAATGATAAACAATGAATATCGATGAATGATAAAGCGAAGTCTCTACATCGATCTGCAGTTGTTGTTTTGTTGTTTTTCTCTTCAACGGCAAAGGTGCAGGACTTGGGTTTTCAATTGATTCGGGGCATTGACTATTTGCACCACAAGAGAGTCACGGCCTCAGTGACATCGAGTCGGCCCGAGTCGGCCCGAGTCGGCCTAAATTTTGAGTAGCGAGCCTTTCTTGAACCTGTCATGAACCTTTCAACCCATTTTGTATTTAACCGCCTTCGGCGTGTTCCGCCGGCCACCATGGAAAGAGCTATCCTGTAAGCGGCAAACAGCCCTTGCACAGGCCCAGCAAGGACATGGTTCTTGTGTAAAACATGGTGTTTGTGTATAACACGGCTTTTATTTGTGTAAAGCAGCTCTTGTGTAAAAGACGGTCTTGACGCAAAAACATCGGTTTTGTTCAAACCACGGTTTAAGTTCAAACCAAAGTATGTGTGTAAACCAGGGTTTTGGAAAAGGCCATATTGAGAAAGGCTTTGGAAAAGGCCATATTTAGAAAGGTTATGCGCGTAAAAGGTGTTCGGCACAAAAGCCAGTGGATCAAGTATTGGATATAAGAAGCGACGGAGCAAACCGATGGCAAACACAGCAAAAAAATCGGAAACAATCATCGAAATGACAGCAAGATGTGCAAAAACCAAGCCGGTGTTGAGCGAGGCGTGGGCAGAGTTGAGCCCACCACAGCGGAAGGAAAGCTGAAGACGAAACGAAGAAGAGTTAGCTAGGGGGAGGATCCACAAGACACACCGGCAGGCCGGCGGACTTAGCACACGGCATCACATGATGATTTCTTGTCTGGTGCTGTGCTTGGCACTGTACATGCACTGTACTTGCAAAACCGCACTTGGCATTCCACACTTTACATGCTGCGTTCCTGCATGTTCATGCCCATGTTCATGCCAGTTGGTGCCATCTTGGATATCTTGGTCTCTCAGTACTTGCTTCACACCTCGCTACAAGTTTCAGTGCTCGCTCCGCCAACTGCACCCATTGAACCAGCCTCAGAGATTTATTTCTTCACTGCTAGGCATCTACTGTACCTCCTATGTACAAAGTCCCAAGCGTCGTACACAGTACAGATGGGGGTCATTCAGTTCATTCCATCATTGTTCACTCCTTGGAGAAAAGACAAAGTCGAGCGCCAGGCATGGCTTTGAAGCATTGTTGTATTCATGGAATTGTAAATCAGTTGACAACAATCATGTGACCGCAAGAATCAAAAATCTAAAGTCTTAAATGGACTGTTTATATAAAGCCTTTCAAAGGGATATGGACGCCATATTGCATGCACTGGTCGGCACTGTCCATGGCTTTCACTGCTTTCAAGGTTGTTCACCGAGACCTGAAGCCTGCCAACTTGCTACTGCACAGGCAACAGTTGAGTACATCCAGTGTGGCAATTCAAACAAATTGAAATGCTTCTCATACATCGTACTCAAATGCACTCAGCATCTTTCTCAATATTTTGATTTCGCAACACAATAGATGCAAGGAACAGAATGCCAGACATGCCAGACTTCAGGCTATTGGACTCTTGGAGGCCTGTAGGACAGGGACGCGGCTTAAACCGACTGACCCGGAGCATTTCGGCTCTGCCACGGACATCTCTCCTGCCCAAATTCAGTGGCCGCTGGTGGGCAATTGGGAGCTCGATTCGCAAACATGTCACAGATCTCGCCCGATGTATTTCCGTCAATGCCATCGATGCCATCCAAGTTGGCATTCTTGGCTGTGTACTTTGCTTTGTGTCAAGAGGCTTTGGGCTCGCACCAGGCATGTGAAACTCGTGCTGGACTGGGCCTGATACAGAAGTCTCCACTGCTGAGGCGCATTGAGGAGGATTATGAAACGCAGGATGAATCTAAGAGTTGTGATCGCTGATATTTGTAACTTTTTGATTTACGTGCATTTTTGTAATTAATTCCGTACCTGCCAGGTGAGGCTCTCTAGCTTTTGACAAGGTGCAACTCCCCACCTTCTTCACCTTATCCTTCTTCTTCCTTCTTCTCTTTCTCCTCTTCATCTACAGTACTCCTTTCCCAGGTTGTTGTGACTGTGTGCACTATGGGCCCAAGCCATATCGCAAGCTCCGGATGCAGCTGGGCACGCCTCGGCCCCAACCCTATCGCGAGCTGGGCACGCCTGGGCCCGAACCTTATCACGAGCTCCGGATGCAACCGGGCACGCCGTGGCCCGAAACTTATCGTGAGCTCTGGATGCAGCTGGGCACGCCTGCACCCGAACCTTAACTAAACCCAAGAGCTGCGTGGAGCTTGTTTCTGGAGAGTTGGTACGGAGCAGACGCAAACATATCACATACAAATAAGGCTTAAGTTCACACCAATATCATATGAAAAAACACATAACAACCTTTTCTACGAACACATAATGAACATATAGTAAATACACGATAAGCACATAATTAATCAACATATCATGAGCATATAATGAACACTTAAAGAACATATAATGAACAGATAATAAATATATAACGAGCCTAAAAATATGATAACCACATAATAAACATGTAATAATCCTATACTAAACATATGGTGATGCATATATTTCATACATTTTCACATGAAAACGTAAAACTGTCATATATAGCTGCACAATGAAGAAACTTAGGAACGCATGGTTGGACCCAGTTGTACTCCAAGGAACCACTCCAGCATGCGCATTCCTGGTTGTCCGTTGCATGGACTCGGTCGGCCTTTTGGGACGCATTTCAGCTTGCAGTTTCATAAATTTGAAACATACAGTCAAACAAAATGTGCGTGACAGTACTTGACACGAATTCAGGACATGGTGCGCATGTGAAATACATACATATATGTTGTTCAGAATTGCGCATATGTAAAAAGATCCGATTTCTAAACCATTAGATCTTACTGTGTTCGTGTAGTATATGTTATGTTTGTGCCGCACAAATGTCACAAGATCTTATCTCCGAAAAATAAGATCTTATTACATGTGCGATGCATATGCTGCGTTTGTGAAATGTTTATTTGTGTGTTTGCTGATGCATGTACATTTATACGCATTTGGTTTCATTGCCCCACAGCAAAATTACATGTTTCATACTTGGAAACCTATGTGAAGCATGGGATATGCATATGATTTGCCGCGTGCTTTCCATGCCAGATTTTATGTAACTCTCTGTCAAGTATGTGCGTACACGTGGGCACATATATGTTCACACATATGCAAATATATGTGTTTGTTTGTGTTTTTGTGTTTTCTACAGACATAAGACCTTCTTTGTTTATAACGATCTTGTTGCACCAAAACTGCTAATAACATAAAGATGCACATAAACATACATAAACTGTCACATAAATTTCACAAAGCAAAACATATCCAGCTCGCAAACGCCAAATTGTCAAACATTATCCTGAGCATTGTTGAAACATAAACTTGTTGGTGTTTTGGAAAGGCTGAATTGTATGTAGGCCATGTATGCAAAAGAATATAAAACAATATGTTCCCACGTGTTGGTGTTTATGTCTCTTTTATGTTTGCACTTGTGCGAGCTTCCGTGTTTTTTTGTCTTGTCTAAATGCTGTGTTTTTTCACTACTTCTCTCTTTGTTGGAAAAAATGTCAGAGGGTGTGTTGCTAGGATTGAACTTCAAAGAATCCTACACTAAAACTGTACTCTATTGAACCATTGACTATATACCCATCAATGTTGCCGATTACAGGCAGTCTCGGAAGACTGGGGTGTCTTTTGAGAGAATGTCACTTCTGGCTTTCCGGCAAAGTACTTACGCGCGAACTCCAAAGACAGTATGTTAAGTAGCTGGGATAGTGACATGGACAGACTTGCTGAATATGTCAAGCGATGCTGCGCTCAGTGCGCATACCTTTTCTAACCAGACTGGATGAAATTTGCAACATTAGGAGTGCTTGACCAGGGGCTTGCAGCAACAATTAGCTTTATTTTGCGCAAGGCGACAAAATATTCATATCACACTGCGATACATGTATGTGTACAATTGTGTATATATATATATGTGTGTGTGTGTGCGCGTGCTTCTTACATTTGTTTGAGATATGTTGTACATAATGTTTTTCATGTCTCATACGTTTGACCTTTTTTTGCTTTGTTTTACATATATTTTCTTTATGTTTGACAAATGTCTTGCACATGGTTTTATGTTTGACCTATGTCTTGCACATGTTTTACATATGTTTGACATACGTTTTGCATATGTTTTTGCATATGTTTGACATAAGCTTGACATATGCCTGACAGATGTTTTTCATATGTCAGACATATGTATGACATATGTCTGGCATATGTATGACATACATATGTCTGACATATGTTGTACATATGTTTGACATATATATGACATGTGTCTGACATATGTTTTGCATACACTTGACATTTGTGTGACATTTGCCTGACATGTGATGTACATATGTTGTCCACATGTTTTACATATGTTTTTATATGTTTTTATATGTTTCACATATGTTCCCATATATGTTTCACATATGTTTTAGCGCTGGGTGCCTTCAGCTCCCCTACAGGGTAGAGGTCTTGAACTTAGTTAGCCCGCCCTACCACGAGCTCTGACGCAGCCTGGGCCCGAACCCCTTTTGCGAGCTCCGGGCGCAACTGGGCACGCGATGCAGCACGGCTGGGCCAGAGCTCTGGATGCAACTGGGCCCGGCTGGGCCCGAGCCTACTGGGCACACCTGGGCCCGCAGCCGGACACGAGAGGGATGTCAGAAAGAATGTCAAACTAGAGGCCAGATAATGGATTGATGGGGCAATCCTGAGCTGGCCGAGTTTAAGAAAAACGCTTTGAGAACAGCCTGGGAAGGCTGCTCCAACTTTTTCCAAACGGTCTCAAGCCGGAAAGAAACATATCCGGGGTCTGGAATCACTGAAGCCGCTCATGGCCAAGAAGGACACTCCTGGCCAAGAAGACAATCCTGGAAAAGAAGAGCGCAAGGGTACCCCAAAAAGGTGCGATGGGCCAGTTCTACACCTAAACGGGTAAAATGTTGGGATGAAAACGCGCCAGTTTTGAAGGTTTTGGGGGTGCAAGATCATCACGGTCATGCTCCCCAAGCGCGCTGTTGTGAAAAAGAGGGACGCATCCATAAGATCGACGGTAAAGTTGGTCGGGAAAACCCCCTCGAAACAGACCTTGCCAGGCCGGAAAAGAAAGAAGGTCATCGATGCAGCTGCCGAAGATCCAACAAGGTAAGGTCTCCAAGAGAGGTCGAATGTTTGGGAAAACACCTCGAACCTTAGGATTTGAGGGTTCAAACGTGTTTCGGGGAAGAAAAACATAAAAGGGAAAGCTCCGCAACCAATGGTTCGTTATCTGATTTCTTTTGGGCTCAAGTGCCTCTTTTTCAGCTGCTTGGTGAGCGTCAACGCCATGGAAGGTGAGGACAGTTCCCAAGAAGCTTGCGGGCGGTTCTTCACAGTGCTCTATACCGGGCTCATCGTCCTGATGTGGAAGGTTTTTCGATGGTTGATGGGTCGTCTGACTTTTGTCGCTATCCCGCAGTTCAACCGACAGATGGCCGAAAATGCTGAACTGATGGTACGACTTGTATGAAACACCGAGGAAGTTATCACTCAGTTATCGGGAAGAAGAGCATCACCCCGTAGCTGCATTAATCGGGGGACAAGAACCACGCCAGGGAAAAGAAGGCCGATCAGAAAAAGCAGAACATTCTGACGAAGAACCACCAGCTGAAAAAAGATGAAAAAGGAGAAAGGGAGAGAGAAAGCTCCAGGCAGGCCGAGGGAAGGGAAGAAAGCAGGGAGAGAGAGATCGAGAGGTAGAGACCAAGAGAAAAGGTCGCGATCGGGTCCCCCAGTCATGAAACAAAAAGACAAGCAAAGGCCACAAAGGTGTCGGGGCGCCCGTGGACACTACAAAAGTGCCGATGTTGCCGGCGGGCGCGGCGACTCCAAGGGCTCCGCCCCGAACGACTCCAAAGTCACCACCTCCCAGACATAACAAGGAGGCCTGGGGGCGATGGAAGGAGCAGCGGGATGACGAGACCAGCGCCGAGTATCTCACAAGGCTTCGTTCGGTATATGGGAAAGAGCGGCCAACGGAGCCGAAAACCAAGGAAGGGGGTGTGGAACCGAAGGCGGGTGCCTCGTCCTCAGCAGCACCGTCAAGGGCACCAGCAGCTGTCCCAAAGGCAGCCGACTATTACGAGGTGGATGGGGGGGCAAATGGTTCTGGTGGGGCGGAAGTTCTTGGGGGGAAAATGGGAACCCAAGAAAAAGGAGAAGAAGAAGCACACCAAGGAGGAATGGGAACAATAATGGTAAAAAGATCATCCCGAAGAAGCAGAAGCTGAAGATACGGATTCGCCCCAAGAGGGCTATTGCTGCCCCTGAACCTGAACAGTCCAGAAGCGGTACGGCCACGAGCCACGAATTCGTCCAGGGCAGGACTCGCCGCGCAGAAAATAAGAAGGAATGGATGGATTTCGTGCCAGACATGCACATGCGCATACTACTCGTGATCAACAGTGATCAAACTGCCTGGCTTGCGAAGACGCCGGCTGTGGATGCTTGGGGGAACAGGAGCATACGGCAGACCTTCGGAAGGTCCCGGGAGAAGAAGATTACCAGGGAATTTTGGTCAGGATCCACTACCGTTGGCGTGAGAATGATGCGTTCAACCTTGATCACGCAACTCTATGCACAGAATTGGAAAGGTTGTACAAAAGTACCAACTCACTTTATGTGGAACAGCCTGGACGCTTCTGAGGTTCTGGAGAGAGAGGTCGTACTAGATAACGACTGGGGAAAGAATTGGGTTGAACCTAGATGGGTTGGATGCACAGTTTTCTGATCAAATATGACAAGTAGACCGTCGATGAAGGTTAAAGGCCAGGAAAAAATCAGGTAACCTTCTGGGAAAAGGTTATCAGCCGCCGAGGGAAAATAACACCAACCGCCGGTGGAAAAGAACATCAGCTGCCGGTGCCAAAGAACGTCAGTTGCAGGTCCCAAAGATCATCGTTTGTGAGAATGAATTCAATAGAGTTTGGGAAGTCCGGGTCAGGGCATGGACTGACCATTCAAGGCTTTGCTGCGAAGGGTAGGAATTTGCGTTTAAAGTTTTTCGAGTTTTACCCGAAGAGGTGCTCCACACTGAAAGGATGAAGGGTTCTTGGCACAAAAGGGTCTTCGCCCTTCTGGATGGGGGAAGGGCGAATTTTCAGAGGAAACGTGGCCATCCCTGAACTTGCTGATTAGGTGTTGAGGAACCTGGATTTCTGCAAGCAGGAAGGGGGAATGCGGTTGGGAGAGTACCATTGCACCCCCATAAGACCCTTTTTCAAAAGTTTTCCACAATTGTTGAGATGTCCTCCGACTGTGTCTGCCGTTGGCTCAACGGCCAATCAATTGGCTGGCTCAAGTGTACGGAGCCCAACCTAGAGAGAAAAAGGTGCACCAACTTTTGTCGCGAAAGCATGTCTCCGTGTCTCCAGTGTTTTACTGGCGCGCGAAGCCGCACGAAACCACAAGCGTAGGCTATGGGACGCAATGTGACGCAGATGTGTTTCCACATGTTTGGAAATTTCAACTGTAACCAGTACGCAAAAAACCATGTGACCATGAGTTTACCAGAGCAACTTGGAACCGGCATCTACTTTCATAGGGCTTACACGTGCAGTGCAACTCAAACCTGCGGTTAATATTGATTGAGAGGTTCTTCAGTGTCAGTGTCAGATTTCCATCATTACCTTTGGGGGTGTGAAGTTCAAATTTAGAAGTTTCTCCGCGAAGCCTCGCGAAGGCTCCGCGAAGGCAGAATATCACCATGAAACACCAAATAGAGGCCTTTCTAAAAGCATATCTTACCCATACAGTTTTGCTGGTTTGGTGCCTTTCCGCTGTGGCAGATGCAGTCTCACATTCTTCATTTTTCTCGCCGTTTGCTTCTGCTCCGTCAGCTGCTGACAGGAAATCAATTAAAGGTTCCAACAACAGCCGCAAAAATAATGTCTGCTGAAACATCGTGCGAAGGAAATGCGAAGGCTTTTTTGAAAGAACGCAGTAAGCGCGAAGGCGCCCTTCGCACTAAAGCCCATCCCACGTAGGCGTCCCGTAAGCTTTGGCGAACCCACCTTGCAGTGTATTGCCGCCAAGCATCCAAAAGAATAACGCTCAGATTGAATGCCGGAATGAATGCCTGAAAAGATGCCAGAATAGAATGCCGGAATGGATGCCAGAAAGTATATCAGATAGAATGCCAGAGTATATGACACATAAACGGGAAAGAATGTCAGATAAAATGTCAGAGTATATGCCAGAAAGAATGTCAGATAGAATATCAGAATATATATATAAGATTATATAAGTAAAAAATATATATATATGCATTATGTATATACTTCCAGATAATACGTCAGAAACTATGCCAGAATAGTGTGTCAGGGCAGGGATCGCTCGAAGTAAGGTAATTGTGTTTTGTGTGTTTTCAGAAATTGTTCTGGTTTAACTGCTTCTGAAGACTGGATGGCTTGCGAAACCGGTGTATCTATTCAGTGGTCTATCAACTTGCATGCTAAGAACCATAGTATGCATCGCATATCATCGCAAAATCCGTTATTATAATCCTATGATCATATTTTGATTTGCGCTTAGGTTCATACTCAATGTTGTAATACGTTCTCTACAAAACGGCAATTCTACCATTGCGAAATAGATTTGTTGCCTTCTGGTGTTGCTAAGTGGCTCACCCAGTTGACCGGACAAAGGAAACTGCAATCACTGAGACCTTCACCCCTGTGGATGGCGGTTTAAATCGTGCTTGCCGCGGGGCCTCATCTGGAGACAACAATGACGCTTACTTCACCCTGCAATCAGCTCCTGACCTCACAGGTTGCAAACGCCTTTGTGAAGAAACCGCCGGATGCAAAGGAATTGAATACCACACATCCGGCAGATGCGAAGTCTGGATTCGACCGGATGGAATCGGGGCCAGTACTTGGGTCGCACTGTTGTACCTTACCCTGTTGCCCCTTCCGATGAAGCTTGCTGGTTTTGTGCCACTTGCTGATTTCACAAAATCACACTGTTTGTGGGTTTCTTCGAAGGGCTTGTGGGCCCTTCGTGGCACAAGTTTGCATAGTCTTGTGCTGTGGAATGCTGCGGAAGCCTTCGATCACTAGAGTCACTAGAGCCACACAGGCTGCAAACTAAGCACCCTTCAGATTGGTTATCAACTTGAACACAGAGGGAGAGAGAGAGGGGGAGAGAGAGAGAGAGAGAGAGCGGGAGAGAGAGAGAGAGAGGGAGGGAGGGAGGGAGGGAGAGAGAGTTAGTTCCATTTCCTTCGAATTCGAGACACCGGGCAGGAAAGTGCTTGTTTCAATTTCTTGGCCAGGCATTTCGCTTGAAAACTACACTTGCCTCCGCTACGGAAGCGATGAATTTCTTGATGTAGGTGGAGGGAAAGACCGTGCTTGCCGTGGGGCTACTGAGACCGACAACGATCCATCCCACTATACAATATCAAGCGGTTCCCTGCAGGAATGCAAGCAAGCGTGCAGAGACAATTTGGCCTGTGTAGGCATTGAACATGCAGGGACCCGTTCCTTGGCCTCTGTTTGGATTTGTGATGTGTTTTTCTTATTTCCGGCCGAGGCCTCATATAGTTTCTTTCACCGTACCTGATTGCTGGCCCACAGCCCGCAGTACCCCTCCTGATTTTACAAATCAAATCTATTTGATCTGGTTGCTTGTCCATTTGTCGGTTTGCTTCTTGTTTGTTGTTTGTCGTGTTTTTACGGTCTTTAATTCTATATGTGTTTGTTTAGGTGAACTTGTCCCCTCCTGCTTGTTTCGTCACCTAGCTACGCCAGCAGCATCGGCCAACTTGTTTGAGCAACCTGTTTGGGAGCAGTATCCCTCCCTTTGCATGCTTGTCATGCAAGCCCCAGCAACCTAAGACTCAAGAAACAATGTGCAACCAACATCAATCACAGCGACGATACGCCTCCTGGCCTCTCCCTCAGTCTCACTTCCCACAATGCTCCTTCACGTATCTTCATGCATCTGCCATGCTCGGCTCGTTTTCCTTGGGGCCTTGGGTGCTGTAGTTTGCTCTACACACGGATTGCTTTTAACTCTGACCTGGCAATGCCGTACGCCAAATTTACACCACCACGTGGGAGCGGTCGCATGCCAATCCTCAAAAGACGGTGGGAACTACAAGTACAGGCTGAAGCTCCCCGATTGGGAAAACCGCACGTCATTACGGAAGGCAGGCGATGATTATGTATGCATAAATACACAGTAGCAAGGATAAACGTCCAGAATTGGAAACTCACCGCTTCACCATAGCATTTGGGATTGGGATCCGCTGGACGTCACCGCACGCACATCGACACACCGATACAGCGATATACCGCGTACGTTCTAGGGCACTGTAAACACAGCGATCGGCGTAACGGCGTGTCGGCGCAAAACGACCGCTTGGCGTAACAGCGTAATTGGAGCAGATGGGCGCAACGGCCTTAGTAACAGCGTAAACACAGCTAACGGCGTATTGCCATGAAACGGCTGATCGGCCTAATGGCGTCTCGGCATATTTACTCTTACGGACCTCAATCCCAAACACGTTGCGCTTCACCACCTTTTTGCTGTTCCTACTCCCCCTTCGTCCACCCCGTCTTGGCTTCAAGTCGTATGGAATCTACTTTTGGCTTAACATATTGTCTTTGCTTGCCGTTTTGTTTTCCTCAGCACTGCCACATACTGCCACTGTTGTTCTCATGTTTGTGTTGCCCAATCAACATGTAGTTGGGATAATCAAGATGCTGCTGCTGCTACGTACACTATACGCGTTGTATGCATCCACATGTTCATCCCAAGTTCTGTCTGAAGTGATTTGCAGTTTCTGGTTGGAAGCCTCCAGGTTGCGAGATTTGGACAAGGTCAGATGGAATTCAATCCTCGAGTTTCAGTGCAGGTTCCCTTTGCCAGAAGCTTGAGTTCACATATGTAGATGGCTCTTTAAACCGAGCATGTCGAGGAGAGAACATCAATGACAATGCTGCTTCTTACTACTCCGTCTCTACTGCATCAATGGCTGGCTGCAAGGAAAATTGTCGCAAGACTCCCGGTTGCGTTGGCATCGAATTCATCAACAGCCGTTGTGAGGTTTGGACGCGCCCTGAAGGCATCAAGGTCGGCAAGGAAGCTGCAGGATACACTTGCTTGAAATATCATGGTGGACTACATGCTGCTCCCAGCACAAAGCAGGAGCGGGATGCTCGCTTCTTGATTCAGTCTACCTTTGGCCCTACTTTAGCCACCCTGGCTGAATTGGGGTACACAACCTATGATGGCTGGATCCAAAAGCAAATGTCCCTGCCACCTAGCCTTCTTCGTGTGTACTACCGAAAGCGCGTGAATCCACGACCTGTACGTCTTGCTTCAGATATGGATTCAGGCAGACCGGCTTCAAGATGTGCTGCAGGACTTCCATGACCAAACACAATTGCCTGAGGCTATGGTTGTTCAAACGTACTGTATTCAAACATGCCTGAGTCTGATGTTGAATACGCGGCAGGGATTCACCACGTCTCAGCAAGATATCAAGTTTCACTGTGTGAATTGAACGTTCAATCAGATCTCTGTGGTAATCTGTAGGATATTTTTGTCGCAGGCTCATTTGCATGGACGTTGCCATTTCTTCAAACGTCATGTCATCTTGCTGCTGACAGCTTCAGGATCCCGGTGGGTCCATCATGCCATTTTGAAGACTGATGAATGGCGGACGATCAAGGTGAGCAACAACAAGATTCTTGTGGACGGTTTTTTCCGCACCGACATCGACCCACACTTCATTGGAAACGATCTGCGGGAGCCGAAGGCCTGTACCAACATTGAACCCTTGTCGTGGGCTGATGCAGGGTATGGCTGTTCCACCCACCAGGACAAGGTTGAAAGAGAGTGCACGAAAGATTCGGTTTGGGTGGAGGACCAATATTGTGCCCAGACTTGCTTCAACCTCGGTTTGGGCTATGAAACTTGTCTTCGATACTGCTAGCCTCAGCCATATTGGCTCTTAACGTACCATCGACATCCATCGACCGACTCCAGGAACACAGCGTATTGTGTACAGTAAAGGGCGATGATGTTAGAGCATATGCAATTGTGGCCACACGGAGTAAAAGATTGAGAGATACACACCAACAGATCCAATATGCAGGGAGATGTCACTTGTATCCACTAATTACACTGCATCTTTCAACACAGACATATGGAAGGAACCAGTTGGGTTCAAGAATTTGTCGCGCTTGGCAACCCTCCGAATACATCCTTTTGACGCAAGGTGTGTAGGCCAAGAATGACGAAGATACTTTTTTGAGCATGCGTGGTTTCGGCAAGTGGCCCAATACCTTTTTAAAAACTTAATTTCACCATAGCTTACTTTAGTTCAGTTTAGTATCTTGTCTCTTTTGAGCCGGCATCAAGGAAGAAGATGACTGCTCTCCTGGATGGCCGTCCTTCTCGTACGAAGGATACATTTGCAAAGTCTCGTACGATTCAACCAGGGCATGGATCAAATTGAGCACATCTTCGAGTTGCACGGGCGCCTTCACTGCGCCTAGTCAAGCACAAGGGATACCATAGCAGATACGCGATGATCAGTGCTACTCGTAGCTTTGATACAATGCAGTATATAGTCCTTTCATGTCTTTTCAAATTGAGGAGATTAGCCGAGCACTTTCCTTTCCAGAGAGTCTGCTATTTTGAACCTGAGCAGTGTTTGAGAAGAGAGAAGTCAAAATAGCACATTTGGCAGTGCCCCCGAGTAAATGAAGCGAATGGATTCAGGAGCCTGATGCCAGCGCGACACAGCCCTGCGCAGGATCCACAAGCATTGCCTGGTATGATAGCAGCGCTATAGTAGCAGTGTGAACCCGTTTCTGCGGCCCTGTTTCCGAACACTCCTTTCACCAGTCATAAGTGGGAAACAACCAGCGATCAGCATACTGCTATCGGTATCAGGTGAGCAGCTATCCAGGCAGAAGTAACGATAATGCACTTTACAGGCATGCAGTGTGCGGATGCGTGCGGTGGGTAATCACAACATGCATTAACATCCAATGCATAGGGCTGCTACCAGTAGTGCCCGCACGAGGCGGGGCGGAAGTTGCCTTACGGTGAGACTATAAGACCTTTTTCATCTGTAGAACTTGCACGCGCCGTGCGCCAACCAGGCCCATGCGTGCGTGCTTTGTGCGACAGTGATGCACTGTTCCAAAGGTCGCACTTGAAGCTCCACACTTCACAATGCACTCTTCACGCTTCATACTTCACACTTCGCACTTGCACTATCTTACACTTCACACTCCACACTTGATCTCATCTCATCTGAGCTCTTCTGATCTTATCTCAGCTCTTCTCACCTCATCTCATCTCATCTCTTCTCATGAGTTATCTAAGTTACTCTCAACTATTTTCATTTCATTGGCGCACTGCTCAACCATTCTCATCTCATCGAAGCTCTTCTCAACTCTTCTCAACTCATCTCAGCCCTTTGCACGTCAGAAAGCTTTGACCGTCAGAGAGAAGTCTCTTGCACACAAAAACCGTTTCGCGCGGAAAGCTTTTGCACAGAGAAGCTTTTGCACACAGAAGCTTGAGACACAGATGCATTTACACAGAAAAGCCTTTACACACAGAAAACTCCTGCACGAGAAGCTTTTACACACAGCACGCTTTTACACAGAGAAGTTTTTACACAGTGAAGCTTTTACACACAGAAGCTATCAGAAGCTTATACACACAGAGAAGCTTTTACACACAGAAGCTTTTACACAGAGAAGCTTTTACACACAGCAAGCTTTTCCGCACAGCATGCTTTTACACAAAAGCTTTTACACACGGCAAATTTTTACACACAGAAGAAGCTTTTACACACAGCACGCTTTTACACAGAGGAGCTGTTACACGCAGCAAGCTTTTACACAGAGAAGCTTTTACACACAGCAGCTTTTACACAGAGAAGCTTTTGCACACAACAAGCTTTTACACAGAGAAGCTCTTCCACACAGAACCTTTTATGTACTAGTTTGCGCAAAACATTTCCGAGTACAACTTTGTACTACAAAACTTGTACCAAGTACTCCCAGTATTACTTTGTAGTACAAAGCTTGCGCAAAGCACTTCCCAGTACAACTTTGTACTGCAAAGCTGGCACAAAGTACTTCCCAGTACTACTTTGTGCTACAAAGCTTGCGCGAAGTACTTCCCAGTACAACTTTGTACTACAAAGCTTGCAATGAGCACGTCCCAGTACGACTTCGTACTGCAAAGCTAGCACAAAGTACTTCCCAGTACTACTTTGTACTACAAAGCTTGCACAAAATACTTCCCAGTACTACTTCGTACTACAATGCACAAAGCTTGCACCGAGTATTTCCCAGTACTACTGAGCACAATACGATTACAACTTTCAGCCGCAAAAGATAATATAACTGTTACGCGCACAGCCGCGGCGCCAAGCAACCTCGACGCAGCCATTACAGTGCGACCTGCAGAGATGGAGTTGCGAAACACAATAGAACTACGTGCAACGGCATCAAAATTGCAGCTCCAAAACCGGATCTCGGCGCCATAGCCAAAAGAAAACGGTTTTGAAGCACTTTTTAGAAAAAGTTTGAAAAAGAAAATCATCCGCGCCAAGATGGAGAAAAACCTGCTGCCAAAGCGCCATTTGCAACCTTCATGCAGCCACTCCAATACGATTTACGCAAAAGCAATAGTATTCTGCATGCAGCCGCAGCAGCGAGGAACCTTGCCGCAGCCATTACAATGCGTTTTGCAGCGCCACGTCTCAAACCCGCATGTATCTACGCGCATGGCAACGAAAATAGCAACAATCATGCAGCCATTCCACTGCGATCTGCAACCACAGATTCCAAAACCCCCTATAACGACGCACACACAAACGCATCCAAAGCAGCTGCAACCCACCGTTACAGTGCGGGAACCAAAAAAACATCAAACTGACCGCAGCCGCACCCGCCGCACACACAGCTGCACTTCATCGCCGGCCGGAGCCGCTTTTACACGAAAAAACACGAGGTTTCGTGCCCCGGCTTCCTCCCCAAAGCAAACCCCATGCAACATCCATGCAGCCATTAAAATGCCTTTTGCAGCGCCACGTGGCAGACCCGCATGTATCTACGCACATGGCAACAGAACATGATGTATTGTTGTGTGATGTATTTTAGTATTGTCATGTGATGGTATTGTCATGTGATTTTGTTGTTGTGTGATGTATTGTTATGTGATGTACTGCTGTCGTGTGATGTATTGTTATGTGATGTATTGTTGCGTGATGTGTTGTTATGTTCTGCATTATGTGATGTATTGCTGTGTAATGTATTGTTATGTGATGCATTGTGTGATGTATTGTTATGTGATGTATTGTTGTGTGATCTGCTGTTGTGTGATTTATTATTTTGCGATGTGTTGTTATGTGACGTATTGTTTGTTCTGTACTGTTGTGTGATGTATTGTTATGTGATGTACTGTTTTGTGACGTAGAGTCTCACAATTCTATTTGTCCGTAACTCGGCAGATTGCTTCCCAACTTCCTTCGACAATTGAGGATATTTGAGGGTCAGAGCGGGGGCATGCGTATTGAAAAACAAACATTGATGCTACTGCCGATTACTGTCGGCAGCCCGTACTGAACTTCACTGATCTGCATTTTTGGCAGTCTGGACAGCTCAGCCAGGTTGTCGCAGGCAGCGGCCCCTTTTGATCTTTTTTGCAATTTATGCGGAACCATGGCTTCTACCTATGTGGGACCCTTTGAAATTCATTGCTCCGCAATACCTCCACCCTTGCTATAACAGCCGCCACAAAAAGTCACGAACTGCACATTTTTGGGTAGGCTTGGGCAAGGCAGTGGCCAATCTCAACACAAGACCTTTGGAAGCTCCAAAGTGGTTGGAAACCGTACCAAAAAAAGGCAAAAGGAAAGGGATTTCTGTCCCAAAGCAGAAAACAATTTGCAAGCTTTTAACAATTTGTTTGCCTCCAGAGGAACTATTCGAAATTGCTGTTTTTTTTAAATGCGATTCTTGGAGATTCAGATGCGCATTGTACTTGCTCAGTTTAAGTGTTGAGGCAATGTTGAATCCTGGCGTATGGAAGTCCAACCCGGACGACAGCATCACGCAACCACTTCTTTTTGATGTTTTCCGTCCTGGCGTGCTGTTGCTCAAGGCGGGGCGCAGACAAATCATTTGCACTGGACATGAAAAAACACAGGGTAAGGCACAGGGTGGTTTGGTACAGTGAGGAATATCAAAATATTTCTTTATATCTCTGCTTCGCTGATTTATCTCATGGTTTTCCTCCAGGGAACTTTTGCCGATCAGTGTCAAGCTGGTCTCAGAGCAACGGGATTCTGTTCAGGAGCCGCCTGCGCAGTGCAATCTTGGGACCATAGTCCAATCCAACGTGGTTGCTTGGCGACAGAGTCAGGCCAGTGTCATCGTTGCTTGATGAACTTGGAGCAATGCACCTACACATTCGATGCTTTGTTAAGAGGCCGTGGGGATTTCAAGACATTGCAGGACAGAGGAGAAACAAGAAAGGACAGAAGAGAATAGAAGCTGGCTTACTGTACTGTTGCCTGTTTTGCGTGACCGCCCGCAGGCCGTGTTTCTGGTTTTTATGTGTTTATTAGTCTATTGCTTCACTTACTGGTGTTGGATCAGATGTTACTCGAATATGTCACAGAGCTTCTGCGACTTGCAGCAAGCTTGCCAAAGATGAAGCTGACCTGAAACTCATCATACAAGATACTGTATACTGGTCATCAGCACAGCCGTCATCGCCATCATCATCATCATCATCATCATCATCATCACCATCACCATCACCATCACCATCACCATCGTCGTCGTCGTCGTCGTCAGCACCATGACAATCATCATCGTCATGCGCCATACATCCTACATCAAGCACCATCATCAAGACGTCCTCATCATCGTCATGTTTCTGCGTGCTTTTGCCACCCTCAGCTTTCTAAGCAGTTGCCTTTGTTTTCTGTGTGTGTGTCCTTTCTCCGGCTCACGTGCATCAACATTGTTGCTCAGTAAGAGCTCTACTAAAATGCCCGCCCAGATCGTGTTCTTGCACTTTGTGAGGAATCGTCCGGTCGATTTTACATGTTGGAAGAGCGCGTGGAGCTGCTCGAGAACACTTTGGAGAACCCTGCTGCCACGGGTGTGACAGGCCAGGTGCTGCTACTGAGTGCAGGATATACACCGCAGCTTAATGTCACTCCACAGGCGGATTGGATCTTTAGTCTTCAATCTTAGCTTGAGCTTCCCTTTTCTGTGGCAAGGGTCTAAGAGATGTCGCACCATGCATCTGTCTGGCTTTCGGCTAGGCTGAGTTTTGTTCGAGAAAAAACATCTTGAGTAGCGCCAGGTGGCAAGTGTCCGACAGTGCCCAAAACTTTTCTCAACGAGCACAGCTGCAAATTGCTGCCAGGGTGTCTGGCGTTGGGGCAGCAAGGTGCGGAGAACGGTCAAACTTCTGGGAAGGGAAATGCAGGATACACCGTGATACATCCCACGTCGGTCCATTATCATCAAAAATCATCATCATCATCATCAACAACAACAACAGGGTTAGGACATGTTAGGACTAGGAGCAAAAGTACCGTAGGAGTAGTAGGAGTAGTAGGGATTTCCCTGCCGGGTGCTTTACAAATCAAGCAAGGCCTTTATGATGAGAATTCCGCTCACAACCAGACACCTTCCGGGATATTTGGGGATGATCGGGGATGTTTTGTCATTGGTTTTCATGGTGCGCCGTCATTTGTCTTGTTTTTCCCGAGAGCGTCTGAGCGCAGGGTTCTTCCAATAGTGGGGGTCTGTAAAACATCTTCTCATCTTCACACCTTCTCATCTTCACACCTTCCCATCTTCACATCTTCTCATCTTCACACCTTCTTCTCATCATCTTCACATCTTCTCATCTTCACACCTTCCCATCTCACATCTTCTCATCTTCACATCTTCTCATCTTCACATCTTCTCACATCTTCTCACATCTTCTCACATCTTCTCCATCTTCTCATCTTCACAGCTTCACATCTTCTCTCATCTTCTCTCATCTTCTCACATCTTCTCACATCTTCTCACATCTTCTCACATCTTCACTCACATCTTCACTCACATCTTCTCACATCTTCTCACATCTTCTCACATCTTCTCACATCTTCACATCTTCTCATCTCACATCTTCTCATCTTGCCCTCTTGCCCTCTTGCCCTCTCCTTCTTTTCTATTTCTCTTTTGAAGGCGGGAGCAGGGACAGTGCCAACGAGACGGCACGAAACGCAACCCTTTCGCACGAAATGAGGCTCGATCGGCAAAAACTGAGGTAAAATTGCGATTTGACTTGTCCTGGAGCAACCCTTTCGCACGAAATGAGGGTCGATCGGCAAAACTGAGGTAAAATTGCGATTTGACTTGTCCCGGAGCAACCCTTTCGCACGAAATGAGGGTCGATCGCCAAAAACTGAGGTACAATTGCGATTTGACTTGTCCTGGAGCAACCCTTTCGCACGAAATGAGGGTCGATCGGCAAAAACTGAGGTAAAATTGCGATTTGACTTGTGCCGGAGCAACCCTTTCACACGAAATGAGGGTCGATCGGCAAAAACTGAGGTACAATTGCGATTTTTCGTGTGCTGGAGCAACCCTTTCGCACGAAATGAGGGTCGATCGGCAAAAACTGAGGTACAATTGCGATTTTTCGTGTGCTGGAGCAACCCTTTCGCACGAAATGAGGGTCGATCGGCAAAAACTGAGGTACAATTGCGATTTTACTTGTGCCGGACTTGTCTGTGTGTAAAAGCGTCTGTGTGTAAGAGTCTCTGTGTGTAAAAGTGTTTGTGTGTAAAAGTGTTTGTGTGTAAAAGTGTTTGTGTGTAAAAGTGTTTGTGTGTAAAAGCTTCTGTGTGTAAAAGCGTCTGTGTGTAAAAGACTGTGTGCAAAAGCGTCTGTGTGTAAAAGCGTCTGTGTGTCAAAGCGTCTGTGTGTAAAAGCGTCTGTGTGTAAAAGCGTCTGTGTGTAAAAGCGTCTGTGTGTAAAAGCGTCTGTGTGTAAAAGCGTCTGTGTGTAAAAGTGTTTGTGTAAAAGTGTTTGTGTGCAAAATCGTCTGTGTGTAAAAGCGTTTGTGTGTAAAAGTCTCTGTGTGTAAAAAGCGTCTGTGGGTAAAAGCGTCTGTGTGTAAAAGCGTCTGTGTGTAAAAGCGTCTGTGTGTAAAAGCCTCTGTGTGTAAAGGAGTCTGTGTGTAAAAGCTTCTGTGTGTAAAAGCGTCTGTGTGTAAAAGCGTCTGTGTGTAAAGGAGTCTGTGTGTAAAAGCGTCTGTGTGTAAAAGCGTCTGTGTGTAAAAGCGTCTGTGTGTAAAAGCGTCTGTGTGTAAAAGCTTCTGTGTGTAAAAGTGTTTGTATGTAAAAGTGTTTGTGTGTACAAGCTTCTGTGTGTAAAAGCTTCTGTGTGTAAAAGCGTCTGTGTGTAAAAGCGTCTGTGTGTAAAAGCGTCTGTGTGCAAAAGCGTCTGTGTGTAAAAGCTTCTGTGTGTAAAAGCTTCTGTGTGTAAAAGCTTCTGTGTGTAAAAGCTCTGTGTGTAAAAGTCTCTCTGTGTAAAAGTGTTTGTGTGTAAAAGTGTTTGTGTGTAAAATCGTCTGTGTAAGAGCGTCTGTGTGTAAAAATCTCTGTGTGTAAAAGTCTCTGTGTGTAAAAGTGTTTGTGTGTAAAATCGTCTGCGGGTAAAAGCCTCTGTGTGTAAAAGTCTCTGTGTGTAAAAGCCTCTGTGTGTAAAAGCGTCTGTGTGTAAAAGCGTCTGTGTGTAAAAGCGTCTGTGTGTAAAAGCGTCTGTGTGTAAAAGCGTCTGTGTGTAAAATCGTCTGTGTGTAAAAGCGTCTGTGTGTAAAAACATCTGTGTGTAAAAGCGTCTGTGTGTAAAAGTGTTTGTGTGTAAAAGTGTTTGTTTGTAAAAGCGTCTGCGTGCAAAAACGTCTGTGTGTAAAAGCGTCTGTGTGTAAAAGCGTCTGTGTGTAAATGCGTCTGTGTGTATAAGCTTATGATGTTGAGATGCTGCTATTTCTATCTATTCGTTCTATAAATATTTATTTTTTGGAAAAAAATAAGAAAAAAATAGGATTCAGAAATAGGAAAAAAATAGGGTTCCAGAACTCAAATAGGAAAAAAAAGGACTGCCAAACCAAGATGAACCACAGCTTCAAATTTGGGAACAACACCAACACAAAACACAAGCAGAGCCTTCCACATTTTATGAGGAATGTCACTGTGGATATATGTGGGTCCACTGCGAACCTGCGTATGGTGTTGCATCTATACATGTAAATGTTTGGATATGTCCCATGCGTGTATGTAAGTAATTGCAATTGCTGCTGCTGCGTTCGCACTTGGAAAAAGGAAAGGAACCGAAAGCAGACATTGAATCTTGAAGGCACCATCTGCTTGGGGGAGCTGGCTAAACGATTGAAATAATGAGCCAATAACTTGTGAACTGCGTGACGTTCGGCGCGTCCCAAATTCAGCAATAAGCGTGGCGCTCCCACACCCCTTTCCTCCTCCCCCCGCTTCCTCCCCCTCCTCTCCCCCACCCCTATTTTTGAATTCTATTTTTCTCCTATTTTTTCCTAATTTTCTAAAAATGGGCTGCTAGCTATTTCCTATTTTTTTCCTATTTGTTTCCTATTTTGTTCCTTTTTTTTTCCAATTTTTTTCTTATTTTTTCCTATTTTTCCTATTTTTTTCGATGTTTTTTACGTTTTTTGACGGTTTTGGGGCCCGAATTCAAAAGAAGGAAAAAATAGGAAAAAAATAAGATGCAGATGTTCAGAAATAGGAAAAATAGGATTCAAAAATAGGAAAAAAATAGGGCCCAAAAATGCAAATAGGAAAAACATAGGAAAAAATAGGAAAGCAAATATAATTACTGGGAGTTTTTCATTTTTTCCTATTTTTCCAATTTTTTCTTATGTTTTCCCTATGTTTTCTTATTTTTTCTTATTTTCCTATTTTTTTGAGGTGTTTTACGTTTTTTGACGGTTTTGGGAGCCGAATGTAAAAGAAGGAAAAAATAGGAAAAACATAGGAAAAATAGGGGAAAAAAGGAGAAAAAAAAAGGTATGGTGCTGGAAGCAGATGTTCAGAAATAGGAAAAAATAGGACACATTAGGAAAATAGGATTCAAAAATAGGAAAAAACAGGGCCCAAAAATGCAAATAGGAAAAACATAGGAAAAAATAGGAAAACAAATATATTGGGAAGTGCTTTGTAGTCCTGTGTCAAGTGTGTTTTTACGTCCTATTTTTTTCCTATTTTTGATTCCTATTTTTTTCCTAAAATACATATTTTCAACTTTTATAGAAATAGCAGAAAACTTTGCATCATAAGTATAAGCGTCTGTGACCGTCTGTGTGTAAAAACATTTGTGTGTAAAAGCGTCTGTGTGTAAAAGCGTCTGTGTGTAAAAGCTTCTGTGTGTAAAAGTGTTTGTATGTAAAAGTGTTTGTATGTAAAAGTGTTTGTGTGTACAAGCTTCTGTGTGTAAAAGCTTCTGTGTGTAAAAGCGTCTGTGTGTAAAAGCGTCTGTGTGTAAAAGCTTCTGTGTGTAAAAGCGTCTGTGTGTAAAAGCGTCTGTGTGCAAAAGCTTCTGTGTGTAAAAGCTTCTGTGTGTAAAAGCGTCTGTGTGTAAAAGTCTCTCTGTGTAAAAGTGTTTGTGTGTAAAAGTGTTTGTCTGTAAAAAGTTCTGTGTATGAAAAACTTTACAAAAATACGATGCAAACTATTGTCTTGTACTAGTCATATATTGTCTTGATACTACTCTTCTCGTCTGCCTATAATACATCTTTAATATATTATCTTGTAATATAGCGTCTCCATACTAACAACAGAAGACTCTGCTCCTCTACGCTCTCGGGCCATCCGTCGTCTAGTTCTGTTGCCAGACCGTCAACTGCACAAGACCAGGCCTTACCGTGTCCCTGACTCTTGACACCCTGGCGAAGTTCTTCTCCGTTGGAGGGCGCTACGTCTATGTAGTTTCTGGTTTGCGCACAACGGCAAGCCCATGTGGCAAGGTGGGGGGATTGAAATCCAAAATGCGCAGTGAGAGAAAGAGAGTCAGAGACACAGACAGAGACAGAGACAAAGAAAGATGGCAAGACTTCGAGATTAGCTCGCATGGAACCTTCCCCTACAGGTACCAGAGTCATTCCAGGTCGTTGGTAACAAAGTAATTTTGATGGCAGCTTGCAAGAAAAACGCGCATGTTGACTTGACACGCTGATCTCCGAATGGTGCACTTACCCTGATCAGGTCTCACGGTGGAAGCAGCTGGCCTGCCCGTCAGCTTGCGTGGCGTCTGATCTTGAAAATGCCACAGCTGAGACCATTCGAACCTCCATCCAACAAGCTGCAGACCAGGGGAATGTTCGGGACATCGATTTGTCTTGTTCCGGTGTAGATGCAGGTTCTATCGTACAAGTGGGCGATGTTTTTTTCCAGCACGTCCACAACGATGAAGACAATGTCTTTGACTTTACAGATTGGACGCTTCAACACCCTGGGGGGGCCTCAAAGATCAAGCAGACCCTCGTCTGAAGGAGTGGGCGCGATGCGATGCTAAAGGACATTGGTTTTGCGGTACTCGTAGGGGACAGAAACTACGCGTATGAATTGACAGTTTGTTGTTGTCTTAAACCATCTTAAACCATTTGGGGAGCAAGCCTATACAAATGCCAGTGAAGGGGGAGAATGCTGGATTAGTTTTCATGTTTGGTTGCAAGTGGCCTTTGAACCGTTTGCGCAGTTCCTTTATGAAATTTGATGGTTTTGGACCCCCATGCTTCCCAGGTTCACCAGCAAAGGCTATACTTTGGTTTTCCCATCTTGGCATCCAATGGATCGCTGGGATTCTGGAATAGCTCCAGACGTTATTGGTCCTGGATTTGTCGGCAACTTGGACCATATGTTGTTAAATTGCTCTTGGAAATCCTACATTGTGTTCCTTGCACATACCAAGAGCATGCCCCAACAACAACGATTGCGGCATTTGACTGTTTTGCGGGCGTTTTCTTGCGAAACCATCGATGCGTACGGGGTCACACACATTTCAAGGTTCTGGGTGCGGTGTTGTTTTCGTTCAATCGTGTTGGCTTGTGATGGTAGCAAAGCCTGGTCAGCCATGAGACTGAACGCTGAGGCAAAATGGGCAATTCTGTTCGCTTCCACAACCTTCCCCAACCTTTGCAAACGGATGCAATTGCAGAGTCTCTCGGGGCAGCGGCGACAGATCAGGACAGACACGCTGAAACATACTGACCTGACCATACTGAAACCATGGTTGTTCAAAGCTTATTGGGCTACATTGCATGTGCTCAAAAGATGTTCATCCTTTGATCATAGTTTTTTTGTTTTCGCACGCGCCTTCTTGAAAAGGAGCTGTCAGAAGTGTGTGGGTCCCCGGGCGAAGTTGCGAACAACCCCTACCTTGGACACCGGCTGTCCTTCAAGCATGGTGCGCCGGATGATTGGCATTTCGACAGTGAACCCCGGAAGCAGACTGGTCCAAGAGAGGGAAAACGAGATTTTGAAATCATCCCTCTTCTTTATCCCAACTGCTTTGGCTTACAGGGGCCTCAGCCCAAATAAGGTTCGGTGCAGCTTCCGGTGCGGGTTCCGGGCTGGGTCCCGAGAGGTTCCGCCGGTAGGTTCTGGGAAGTTCCGGTGCGGGTTTCGGGCTGGTGGGGGGTTGCCAATGGGGGTTCCGGGCTGGTTCCGGGAGGTTCCGGGAGGTGTTTGATTTTGTTCTACAGCCACTTTAACTGTGCATGTGAGGTGCGGTTTTCCACATTTTCCAACCAACTGTGCTGTTGGGGGCACCACCTGGGTTTATTTGGTGAAGGCATATAATATATTGAAAACCGGTGGCTTGAGACAGCTGTTTGCCATTTTATTTGTTCCTCCTCATTTTCCTTCCCCGGCGCAATGAAATGATTCTGCACTGGAGAATTAGGCAAACTGTGCCATGTTCGCGCAGCATGTGCAAGTTAGAACGCAATCCATACAGAAGCGGTGGCACATTCCAGCAGCTAGCACACACAGCTAGCACACACACACACACCCATCTGCTCATGTTCCTGACATAGGCTTAACGGTTGCCATTGTCACATTTAACCACATGTTGACATGCCAAGTGGGAAAGCAAGATTTAATAACCTGTACATACAATGGTCTATATAAATACAACGCGTCGCAAGTAGATACAGGGACGTGTACTGTACCGACATGTACCCAAGGCCCCAGCCGGTCAAGGGGTTTTGTCAAGCCTGTCCCCGATCAAAAAAGATGTTGGATGCATGCTGGTCGCTAAATTTGATTTTCAAAAGGAAGCTTGTCTATACACAGACACAGCTGAAATTCCACGGTGGGTCTAAGAAAGTACAAGCCCGTCAGAATGGTTAGTCTTGTATTTTCATTTGTTCAAAGGACTTGTGGTTTTTTGAATTCTGTGCCCACAGTTATGATCCATAATGTAGTTTTCAACTTTGTAGACTTTATATGTCCTACAAAATGATTGGAATAGGATCCAGGGGTGCGTACACGGGCTTAGTTGTACTTATGATAAAGAAGCCAGAATATGGAAACTTGATGAAACTTGAGTGCGTTCATTCTGGGCTCTTGGCAGCACGGCTTTTCGGCTTGCTACAAGTTCTCCGGCCCGCAAGGGTCTGCCTCCCTTCCCGAGTGCATGGATGATACGCAGTACGGGGGTTAAGTCCGGCTGCTTCTAACGTTACCGTGAACGCAACATGTAAGTACCATCAAGTACCAGCCTAACGCTGTTTGTGGTCAAAATCAGTTTTCCCTGCTAATTCTTGAGGACTATGGTTTTTGGTGGAATCGCGACCATCGCACCAAGTCTGCGGTTTGGACCATGCAAGCCCTCTTTGCCGATGATCAGCTTCGTCAGCGAGTAGCTTGGGCATTGTCCCAGATCTATGTCTGTTCTGTGAACGGCGGCGGCTATTCGGAACGAGCAGCAACTTGGCAAAGCAAAGATTTCTTCAGGGTTGGCCCCATAATGATCGTATTGCAATCGTGGTGTACAGCTACCAGTACAAGTAAAGCCTGCACAATGCGACCGGCAGAAGTTTCTAGCAGACAGGAAGGCTATACCATAGGAGCGAAGAACAAGTTTGCCTATACGAGTTACACTGGAGCACCAAAGCTTCGGAATTGTCCTCGCCTTTAATCCTTTCCAATTCGCTTCAACTCTTATCAATTCTTCTCACCTCTTCCCACCTCTTCTCAACGCTTCTCAACTCCTCTGACCATTAACTCACCTCTTCCCACCTCCTTTCAACGCTTCCCAACTCTTCTGAACTTTTTCTCACCCGTCCCAACTGTTCTTGGTTTTTTTCCACATCTCCACTCTTCTCAACACTCTTCACATCTTCTCACCCCTTCTCACCCCTTTTCAACTCGTTTCAACTCTTCTCAACACTATTGGCTTGTCTCACGTCTTCTCAAGTCTTCTCACCTCTTCGCCACTTTTCGCACCTCTTCTCAGTAAATCCTTCTGATCCCCACATATTCAACTATTGTCTGTACAAGTTATCCACCCTTCCCACTGTCAAATTCGAAGACATTCGCTGACAATGCATCCCTGCTGCTCGCTTTTTTAGGTAAATATCAGCACAGCACAGGCAGCACAGCCTGCGAAAACATGGTGGCAACTCAGTGCCCAACCACTTGAGAAGCAACTCTGCCGTCTAAGCGGTTAACAAGGCATGAAGCAAAACATGCCAGACCTAAAATTTGACGCGAGCATACCAACAGCCAGTGAAATTCAGATGCAATCGCAAAAAGGCAGCAACTCGGCGCCCAAGGGCAAGAACCAACTAAAAACATGGCTCAACCTAATCTGCAGACACCGCGTTGCGCAACACCAAAGAATTACGCACGCAGAGGCAGCGGCCGCACGACGGAACCTTGATGCAGCATTTTTCAAATGATTTTGCTTTGTAAAGGATTTTGCACAGGTACATGATCAGCGCCAAAATCGAGCAATAGAATCGTCATCGTAACTTTGATATAGCCATTCCAAGACGGTCTGCGTTGCCCATTCAAGAGACCATGCCATGCAGCTGTTCCTGTGCACAAAGCAGCTCTGCACATACAAAATCCCACCAGCAAGAGACCCCAAACAGTGTGGGGGGTAGGGTAGGATTTCAATGTACCAGATACAAGCAACAGTAGCTATGGAACAGCAGCAGATGAGGTTAGACATGATCGCAACTGCAGCAGCAGGACCTTCTATATAAACATAGGTCTATATAGGCTATTTCACAAGATTCCTCATACAAGACCAGAAGAACTTACAGACAAGCACCAACGCAGGGCATCTGCAAGATCTTACTGCAAGGACCTCTTGAGGAAGATTTCAACAGGATCTCCACAAGAGCTTCTCACAAGGACCTGTACCAGATCATGTAAGGACACCAGGACCTCATCGAGAGCGTCTCACAAGGACCTGTACAAGATCGCGCTTAGCGCAAATGCCTCTGACAGCATGCCACTTGCATCTCCACAAGATCTGGTCACAAGGATCTCCCTGCCACGACGCCTAAAAAATGTCACAAGATCGTCAGAAAAGGGCCTGCTGCTGTTGGAGAGGATCTAACAAAATCTTAATACAAGAACCTCCCAAGAGCTCTCATACAAGAGATGGCATCTGCAAGATCTTCATGCCAGGGCCTCTTGGAGAGGATCCCGCCAGAAGGACCCCACCAGGATCTTCACAAGATCTCCGACAAGGACCTGCAAAAGATCATGCAGGGACCAAGACCGGGACAACCGTTTTGCGCGAGCCTGCGCAATCGAAATTCACTTAGACCTAAGAGCCATTTTACGCGAGAGTTCTCAGGCAAAGACCAAGACCGGGGCAATCGAGCCTACTCTTTAAATCTTCGCCCCCTGACGTACAGTACATTCAACTGAAAAGACAAGGTTAGTTTTGTGCAACTTTTATCATTCAGATTTCATCTTGGATGCAGCAGTTCCACTGCGATCGACCAACAGTGACTTCCATTTTATTCTGTTCAACTCTACTAATAACATCTTCCTTCCGCTGCTCTACTTTCCGCTACTCGACTCATTTCCGCTCGGCTCAACTTCTCTTCCCTTCGCTTCCCTTCGCTTCTCTTCTCTTCTCTTCTCTCGCTTATGCTCTTCTACTCCCTTCTATTCTCGTCTATTCATTTCTGTTCTATTCCTATTCCTATTCTATTTCATTCTATTCTGATTCTCATTTTTACCAGTAGTACCGCACAATGCGGTGGCGGAAGTTTCAAAAATAGGAAACCTATAGGAAAGGTTGGTTGTTGTGAATCACGGATGGCAGAGCGAAGCCACTGATGGATCGAAAGGTGATTGATGTCTCCTCTCTTTCTCTCTCTTTCTCTGACTATCTACCTACCTACCTATCTATCTACCTATCTATCTGTCGATCTATCGATCTATGTATCTATCTATCTATGTATCTATCTATCTATGTATCTATCTATCTATCTATCTATCTGTCTATCTATCTATCTATCTATCTTATCTAAGTTCAATATAGGTGTAACTGCGTTTTGAAAGAATCGAAACAAGTCAGGTACGTACGATGCTTGGTGCGACGGTGCGATGGTGCGGTGCAATGGTGCAATGGTACGGTGCGATGGTACGGTGCGATGGTGCGATGGTACGGTGTGATGGTGCGATGGTACTGTGCGATGGTGCGATGGTACGGTGCGATGGTGCGATGGTACGGTGCGATGGTGTGATGGTATGGTACGATGGCGCGATGGTACGGTACGATGGTATGCGATTGTTTGCGATGGTACGCAACTGCATGCACCATGAGGTTGAGGTGGTGTGATGGTGTGGCTGCACTGGTCGATGGTGCCTGTCATGTTTTGCGATAGTATACTGATGAACCATGGGATGTTATACTGGTGTGGCACCATGGTAAGTTGTAATACAGGTTCATGTGTGCAAAGTCACAACCATCTACCTGTAATAGTTAATTCTTCATATTTTTTCTAAGTTGCACAACGTCCAAAACCAAGTAAGAGAATGGTTAAACGAAAAGGTCCAAAAATCAGATTTTTATAAATTCCTTATTATTTGTTTCGGTATGTTTCGGTGTCACACGTGTGAAACCAATATAGCTTGATTTTTCTGGGAAACATTTAAACTCTCAAGTTTGCAGAGTTGATGTTCATTTGATGTCCATGATTCTTTTGGCATCGGCAAAAGCAGACATGCAAATGTATTCCAAGCAAACTTAACTGTAACTTTGGTGGATTTGTTTGGTATTGGATGGACAGCAAAAAAATGAACATCAGCTAGGCTTTGACAACAGGAACACGATGTCGCAGACAAGGAGTCCAGTGTGCTTTTTTGTATTATAGATGTATTATATATATACTGTATATGAGGGTTGCTTTCGTGTCAATGTTGTTACCCTGAAGCACATGACCTATGCACGTTCCTCCTTGTTTCTTTCTGGTTGCAAGGTTTTGGCAAACATTGGGTTCAACAATTTGGAATCAAGTAAGAAAACTATAGAAAACTATATAATACAATTTGCTCCAATGAAACCAAAATCTCTCGGGGCATTTTTGTTTCAGGGCAGGTTTTTTAAATCGCGGCCAAACCTTTTCTTTGAGATGCTCTTCCAAGTGTTCCAAGGGGATATCAGCGGTGAAGTTGGCCTTCCTATGGGGGCAACTTTTGAGATTATTGGCGTGTTTCAAAAGGAGTCCAACTGTTTTGAAACGAAGAAGAAAGCTCTGACCAACAGTACCCCAAACCACAAAACGATGCAAACAAACATACCCTTACACAAAACCATGCAGTTGAAGGCAATGGGCACCACAAGAGAAAATCGATTCGGGGCAGACGGTTGACGGTGCGATCTAATCTTAGTATTGCATCAGCAGTGATATATAGTTTAGCCAGGGGTCGATTGATAGTATGGTTGACATGTTGTGCGAAGAACATCCCACTTTCATGTCAAAGACGTTAATGGCACATTAGGACATACTTTTCACTATACCGGCGCGCAAGTCTAAGCGTCAAACAAGAGTGAGGCAGTCTGAAATATACCATTGCAGGGGTGAAACCATGGGTTACTGTACCAACCATCAACCATTGAATATGTTTGTTCTGCTTCCGGCCTGTTTTCTTGATGACCGCAGCTCTGGCCGTTGGCTGCACATGACACATGAAAACACAAGCAGGCAAGCAGAATCTCCTACACTCACTCAGCCATTCGCAAATTACCCGTACCACGGCATCGCGCCGTAACACTACATACCCATACATATCGCACTATGCCATTGTACCATTGTACTGTCTAACGTACCATCGTACCGTACCATCGTACTGTACCATCGTACTGTACCCACTTTCACTTGTACGTACTTGTAGGGTGTTGGCCGTACCAATTCATTTTAAGTATTGGGTACAGTCAACATCCTACAAGTGGGTACAAGTGAAACCAGGTACGGTACGGTGGTACGGTGGTACGGTGGCACGTTACGTTTCTGACTGTTGCCCAGGCGCCAGCCGTGGAGCAAACCTCCTGAAGGGGAAACAACATCAAATTGTGTATATGTGACCTTTGACCAACATTTATCACCATCAACATCACCACAATCATCACCATCATCATTCATCATCACATTTTCTTGTGTAATATCATCTCCTCCCTCCTGCTTTCTTTCGGGCCACACCAGCCACACTGTTGTCTACTTTGCTTAGATTGCCAAAAACGATGAATTCTGCGTGGACTAAGTGAGCAACACACCCACAGAGCACAATATGAGCAGTTCATCGAGACAAACAAAAAGTAACCATGGCGGAATGAACATTTTTTTTAATGCAGAGACAGAGAACTTCGTGGTAATACTTGCCAAAAAACAATGTTTCCGTACCAACTTCATGTACCTTGCAAGGTTTCATCAAGATTGACTTTGCAAACTAATTTAGTGTACCGTGCAAGCTAAGCCAATTTGATTTGCAATTGACACAATCTGATTCTTTTGCTAGCATTGCAGACTGAATTAATTTCTCTAAAGAATATTGACTATAGTTTGCTTGAATGCTGGCCACTACAAAATACAGATGAACATGAACTGCTTGACTTCACCCCTCAGCCGTGTTCAATGTAGCCTTTCCGCTGTTGGATCAAATCTCCAACTCATGATACACAACCACAAAACACACAAACTGTTCATGACATGTAGCTGTGCAGATCTGTGTAGCCCATTTCAACACCAAAACCCTTTGTAGAATGGGTTGGTAGGAAAAATCAACTCAATTGAACAAGCATACCAAGAAAGACAGGCCGCCTTAGTATTAAATCAAAGCCGACTCAAGACACATCTCAATGCCGCTGACTTAGTTGGACATTGCACATCCCTATTCCGGCCGTACCGTTAAAGGCAGCCTCGTTCCATTCGGTACTGGTTTAAGCCTTACATTCACGTCATGTTGCAAGGCACAAAACATGCCATCAAGCCCTTTACAAAAAAATATTCGAGCAAAGCTGTCAGAAAAGACCTTCAATCAATTGCTGGAAATAGTTGTGTGATGTGTGAGTATCCTTATCGGAAATTTAGCAATTCAGTCAAACAACCGTTAGCTCCAGAAATATTGTTAAGAAATATTGTTAGCTTCAACATCCCATATATTATATATTTAAAACATATGTTAGATTTTTTAAACATGTTAAAACTAGTTTGATTGCCAATCACTTAAAAATTAAAACCAGGTTATCAATTTAAAAATATCATATGGTTTAGTTTAGTCTATGTCATAGAATATGTAGAATACATCTTTTTAAATTTCAGCAATTGCATATCAAATTTCATCATTTTTGTACTAGTAGTTACTAAATTAAATTGCATGTGTGTGTAATAAATATAATATACATATATGTGTATGCGCCGTTATTGATAAACATATAATCACTGAAATGCTTTCTTGACGTCGACAATGTATGGTTTGTTTTGGGATTGTTTTCACAATCTTAAAATTCAAGATTTAACAATCATCAAAGTATCGTACCACTGTACCATACATCATCTACTGTACAATCGTACCATGGTACCATACATATACTATATCATTGTACCAACGTACCGTACCACCGTACCTATCGTACCAGGGGTATATCGTACCAGGATTTAAGTATCTATAACCACACCTATCTTGAACCTAGATAATATCTATCTATCTATCTATCTATCGATCTATCGATCTATCGATCTATCGATCTATCGATCTATCTATCTATCTATCCATCCATCCATCCATCTCTCCATCTCTCCATCTCTCCATCTCTCCATCTCTCCATCTCTTTCTCTCCATCTCTCCATCTCTCCATCTCTCCATCTATCTATCTATCTATCCATCTTTCTATCTATCCATCTATCTATCTATCTATCTGTCTATGTATCCATCTATGTATCTATCTATCTACCTATCTATCTTTATATCCATCTATCTTTCTTTCTTTCTATCTACCTGTCTATCTATCTATCTGTCTATCTATCTATCTCTCTCTCTCTCTCTTTCATCTGTCTATCTCTTTCTTTCATCTGTCTATCTGTCTAGCTGTCTACCTGTCCAGCTGTCTATCTATCTGTCTGTCTGTCTGTCTGTCTGTCTATCTGTCTACCTGTCTATCTGTGGCGCAGTGCCATTCAGTAGTGTAGTGTAGTGGAATGTAGTGTACTGTAGTGTGATGTAGTGTAGTGTAGTGTAGTGTAATTTAGTGCAGTGGAGTGTAGTCGAGTGTAGTGGAGTGTAGTTGTAGTTGTAGTACAGTGGAGTGTAGTGAAGTGTAGTGGAAGGTAGTGTAGTGTAATGTAGTGTAGTGTAGTGGAGCGTAGTGTAGTGTAATGTAGTTTAGTGTAGTGTAATTTAGTGTAGTGGCGTGTAGCGGAGTGTAGTGGAGTGTAGTGGAGTTGTTGTAGTTGTGTAGTTGTAGTTGTAGTGTAGTGGAGTGTAGTGTAGTCTCATGTAGTGAAGTGTAGTGGAAGGTAGCGTAGTGTAGTGTAATGTAGTGTAGTGCAGTGTAGTGGAGTCGAGTGTAGTGTAATGTAGTGTAGCGTAGTGTAACTTAGTGTAGTGGAGTGTAGTGGCTTGTAGTGGAGTGTAGTGGAGTGTAGTTGTGTAGTTGTAGTGTTGTAGTGTTGTGGAGTGTCGTGTAGTGTAATGTAGTGAATTGTAGTGGAAGGTAGTGTAGTATAGTGTAATGTAGTGTAGTGGAAGGTAGTGTAGTGTAGTGTAATGTAGTGTAGTGTAGTGTAAATGTAGTGTAGTGGAAGGTAGTGTAGTGTAATGTAGTGTAGTGGAGTGTAGTGTAGTGTATTGGAGTGTAGTGTGGTGTAGTGGTGGTTGTAGTTGAAAATGCTACAAAACCCTCACATTTTCCTCACTTTTGACAAGGTGCACAATCCCTTGCGCCTGCCACGCGAAGCGACATCTGAACCTCCAAAAGTGGTCCGAACCCCTGGTGTTTTTAACATGTTGACTTCGGAATGTGCTTCGCGCCACAACGACGTGCACTTTTTCGACATCTGAACTTCCAAAAGTGGTCCGAACCCGTGGTGTTTTTAACATTTTGACTTCGAAACGTGCTTCGCGCCACAACGGCGTGCACTTTTTCGACATCTCAATTTCCAAAAGTGGTCCGAGAATGGTGTGTTTCGTAAATTTTGACTTCGAAATTCGAAATGTGATTGGCGCCACAACGGCGTGCACTTTTTCGACATCTCAACTTCCAAAAGTGGTGCGACACTGGTGTGTTTTGTGCATTGTGCCTTCGAAATGTGCTTCGCGCCACAACGGTGTGCACTTTTTCGACATCTCAACTTCCAAAAGTGGTCCGACACTGGTGTGTTTTGTGCATTTTGCCTTCGAAACGTGCTTCGCGCCACAACGGCGTGCACTTTTTCATCTCTCATCTGGCCAGATGGCTCCGCACCCGCCGCTTTAGCGAGCCTACTTTTCGACCCTCCAGAGCCACAAATCATTGGAAAAACACAGTGTTTCGCGGCTTTTCTACCTTTTCGCGCATCTGCATCTTCTTTCTGACTCTTTCTCTTCTATCATCTTCTCTCTTCTGCTCTTCTCTTCTCCCTGCCTCTGCCCAGCTCTGCTTTTCATCTGTCCATATTGTCGGAAGTTTGACTTCTAAACTTCCTTCGGTTACTTATTTTTTTTTCTAATTCTTATTCTTATTCTATTCTGTTTTATTCTAGTCTACTCTGTTCTACTTTCCTCTACTCTCCTCTGCTCTGCTCTACTCTGCTCTGCTCTACTCTACTCTACTCTACTCTCTTGTGCTGTACTTTACTGTACTCTACTCTCCTCTGCTCTATGCTATTTTACGCTACTCTTCTCTACTCTTCTCTACTCTTCCTCTATTCTTCTCAATTTTGCTCTACCCTTTCGTACTCAGCTCGCTTCGATTCAGCTCGGCTCTCTTCTCGTCTAAGCTACCCCTCAACGCTACTCTACGCTACACTCTACTCTACTCAGCTCATTGGACTTCCACTCTCCTCTCCAGCCGGCCCACTGGATTTAATTATACAACACATCGCCTCTACTTCAGGACCAGCCAACTGGCCGCTGGCCTTAAGACTTCTTGGTAATGTGAACGTGCGTAATTCAGAGTTTCTCTGCGACATGTCCTTTGATGAACGTATCTTTGATCAATAGCTTTGTGAGGAGTCATGGCTGAACTACTATGACATTTTTGTTCGCAATGCCTTCGGGAATTTGCGCGACGTTCTCAGGGAGGTCACCTACAATCCGATAATGGGGGACTATTTGACGTACAAGCGCAACAGGGCTATGGATACTTGTCACTTCAGCATGCAGCACTGTTCAACCAAAGTTGACCCATTTCAGTGTTTGCCCATTAAAGTCATGAAAGCGGGGCGCTTGAGTTGTGTCGGTCAATGAATGTTTGGCAGTCTGGACTGTCTTGTATTGTCGCCACGCTTGGCCAGTTCAGGACGAGACTGGACGATTCCCTGATGAGAACTACGCACGTGAGGCCAGCAAATGGACAAACTGTAAAAAGCGGAGCCTTGCCAAGACCTTGCCCGGATGACAGAACCATGGCCGATATGTATTTTGAATCATAGCAGAGGGCAAAACCCAACAGGGACATGCAAGATTATTCACAGAACCTCGTCTGCAGGATCGCCCTCAAGCCCAGTGAAACATTTTGAGTCTCCAAAAGTCCAGCAATGGAGTGCACTAACTAGACTTGCTTCAACTATGGGACTTGACCACACTGAGCAATCGCGGCCTTAGGTGAGTTTGCACCTGCTTGGCAACACTTTTAAGCCACTCATGGCTGAAGGAACAGGAATGGAATGGTTTTTGTCTAGCACGCAACAAGTGTTTACCAGGATCAGACCTAAAAACGCTAGCAGGCATTGCTTGGGGCCTCTTCAGCTATGAAACTGACTCAACCTCAGCTACCAATCCTACAAGAGCGCAAACATGCAGACCAGTCCGGACCCAGGAAGCAAAACCAAATAGATCCAAAATTTCGAATAATAAATTCTGAAAATAACAACTCTAAGCGTGTCATGTCGCCAAATCACCATCTCTTCTTGGATTTCGGGAGCTCCAAAAAAAACTTTTTGAGCCTCGAAGCCGCACAAATGGTTTGCAACAACCTCATTCAGAAGCTTCATGCTTGCATTATCTCGCTACTAGCAGTCGCGGTTTTGACTTATAGGTTCTGAATGCTTGGAAGAACTTGATATGGAAATGGCTAAATCTGCTGGGTAGGTGATGCAATTGTTCTCCATCGGCCTTTGGAAGCTGAATCCTGACGGCTCTGAGATGAAGGATGCGAATGGCAACTCGATCCCAACATACGGTGGCTCAGCTGCAGAGAGCTACTCTCCTCGTGCGGCTCCTGGCTTTGCAATCAAACAGTGGCCGGACCTGCTAAATTCTGCTTAAATTCCTTTCAGATTCCTTTCACCTCTTTGAAATGGCTTTTGACCTGCCTATCAAGCGTTTCCTTCCTGCTTGTGGATTTTGCAGGCCTTTGCTGATCTTTGCTTTTGGAATTGTTTCCTCAGGGTGAAGCACTTTTTGAAACATGACAAGGAATGCGATGTTTCCATTGGTGGCAAGGGTAGGAGCTTCTATTGTCACCGGTAACCCAACATGAACAGATAAAGAAACGAAGATGTAGAGATCAGTGAGACTAAGCAGTTGGATGCAGCGGTGGCAGGACTTACCACCAATAATACCCCTATATATGTATATATATATACATACTTCGAAGGTGTGTGAATAGAGAAGTATGTAACTACCCATTTTCATCAAAACGTGATTGTTGTAGAAATGCAATGGTAACTTTTTGGTGCTTGCTCTTGCCCCACTGACTTGCACCATGTGCGCAGGCAATGATGCCATCATGGATTTTGCGCGAGTGTTCACTGGCTTCGACGAGCAGAGGGATAGAGGCAATCTGGAGTACGTCGATGGCAAGAACCGGATTGATCCTATGCAAATGAAGACGCATTCACAGCTGGACACTTCAGTTGCGATACATTCAAGATCGTTCAAGCATTTCGTGGTTCAACACAACGCAAAGTTTTTTGTGACACGTGCACAAAGAGTTACATCAAGTCTGAAATAGTTCATTCAAGTACCACAATGGCGACGGAATGCGGATGCACTGAGGTGGACTGGCATGATAGATATCCGAAGCCAACCTTGGATGGCGGATACCTTGGCGATGGCTATCCTTTGTGCTCGGACGCCGCAGAGCAAAGCTTTCTCCGGAAAGGTGCCCTTTACACTTTCATTGGGAAGAGCTTGGATGGACATGGCGCCCTCAACCTCTCCAAGTCATCCGATTTGTTCAAAGCTTTGTGCTTCGAATCAGGAGGCACGTGCCAGTACAACCTCACAGTGACGCTGGGGGAAACAGTTCCATGCAACGGACAAGAATGCACCACTCATGCTGTCAAGCATGTTCATGTTGACGGTGGATTCTACGAATACTTGGAGCCGACGTGTGTGAATTTGTTCTTCTTCAATGGGCAAGTCTCGCGCGAAGGTGGTCGCAGGTGGGGCTGGACCACGAAATGTCGGGACCAAAATGCGCTGATTGCTGGGGTCAGCTGCTGCAACGGATGCAAAAACAGGACAACTGGCTGGATGGACCGACGCAATATCACCTGCGAAAATGCTGCAACAACTTGGCCAGAAATGCTCACTGAGAAGTGTGGCTCGCTCTGAGTTTCAGCACGTTTGTGTGCAGTTTCCTCGGGTCAACATGCGCGCCAGTGTCCCAATGTTCCTTGAGGTTTTTAGAACGCGTCGGGCTGGTAGAAGCTCGCGCGTGTCTTTGGGGGTGCATGATCAAATCTCCTGTGTTTACAGAGTTTTCGTTTTGCTGGAGTTTAGAAGAGCAAACAAACTAACGTTTTGAAGGCACAAATCATGTATATGTATAATTATGTATATACATACATTTATCGAAGGAAGTTTAGAAGTCAAACTTCCGACAATATGGACAGATGAAAAGCAGAGCTGGGCAGAGGCAGGGAGAAGAGAAGAGCAGAAGAGAGAAGATGATAGAAGAGAAAGAGTCAGAAAGAAGATGCAGATGCGCGAAAAGGTAGAAAAGCCGCGAAACACTGTTTTTCCAATGATTTGTGGCTCTGGAGGGTCGAAAAGTAGGCTCGCTAAAGCGGCGGGTGCGGAGCCATCTGGCCAGATGAGAGATGAAAAAGTGCACGCTGTTGTGGCGCGAAGCACGTTTCGAAGGCAAAATGCACAAAACACGCCAGTGTCGGACCACTTTTGGAAGTTGAGATGTCGAAAAAGTGCACGCCGTTGTGGCGCGAAGCACATTTCGAAGGCACAATGCACAAAACACACCAGTGTCGCACCACTTTTGGAAGTTGAGATGTCGAAAATGCGCACGCCGTTGTGGCGCCAAGCACATTTCGAAGTCAAAATGCACAAAACACCACATGCTTGCGCCACTATTGGAGGTTCAGATGTCGTTTCGCGTGGCAGGCGCAAGGGATTGTCCACCTTGCCAAAAGTGAGCAAAACGTGAGGGTTTTGTCGCATTTCCAAAAACCATGGCAGGCGTGGGACATTTGAAGAGGATCTGCCAAGATGCATTTCGCGTGGCAGGCGCAGTACAAAGGACATGTTCATGAGAGATGTTAGGAGGTCAGGGCGCTGATTTCCTGAGAGGGGTTGCATTTTGGAGCATCCGATCTGTAGGTTTGCTAAGATGATTTTGCGTGACAGGTGCAGCACTTCGTACGACCTGGCATCAATTTTTCGTGGCAGGCAGGCGCAATAAATTAGACAGGTGGAGTGGAAAAATCGCAAAACGCATTGGTACGAGGCTGTCAGATAGACAGATAGATAGATAGACAGATAGACAGATAAAGAGATAGATAGATGGTAGATAGATAAATAGATAGATTAGATTAGATTAGATAGATAGATAGGTAGATAGGATAGATAGATAGATAGATAGATAGATAGATAGATAGGATAGATAGGATAGATAGGATAGATAGGATAGATAGGATAGATAGGATAGATAGGATAGATAGGATAGATAGGATAGATAGGATAGATAGGATAGATAGGATAGAGAGGATAGATAGGATAGATAGGATAGATAGGATAGATAGGATAGATAGGATAGATAGGATAGGTAGGATAGGTAGGATAGGTAGGATAGGTAGGATAGGTAGGATAGGTAGGATAGGTAGGATAGGTAGGATAGATAGATAGATAGATAGATAGACAGATAGACAACTACAACAACAACTACACTACACTACTACTACAACTACATATGCAAATAAACTTTGCTACATTACACTACACTAATGACACTACACTACACTAATTACACTACAACTACAACTAGTACTACCACCACAGCTACAACTATAATTACAGCTACACATTGCACTACACTGCACTACACTGCACTAATTACACTGCAGCACACTACAACTACAAATACAAATGCGACTACAACTACATTACATTACACAACACTACACTACACGAATTACATTGCATTACGCTACAACTACAACTGCAAATACACTTGCAACTACCACTAAATTGCACTACACGACACTACATTAATTGCACTACACTACACTACAACTACACTACCTTACACTACACTACACTAGACTACACTACACTATACCAAACTACAGTACACAACACTACAGTACACTACAATACACTACACTAATTACACCACACCACAACTACAACTGCAACCGTAACTGCAACTACACTACACTAATTACACCACATTACAACTACAACTCCACTACACTACGCTACAACTACGACCACAACTACAACTGCACTGCAGCACACTACATCCAGCAGTTGCGGTGGGGCGACCACTGCAAACATTGCAACCACTCCAAAAAACACAACTCCAACCACCTTTCGGTCCATCAGTGGATTCGCTCTGCCATCCGTGATTCACAACAACCAACCTCTCCCGTAGGTTTTCTATTTTTGAAACTTCCGCCACCGCCTTGCGCGGTACTTGGTAAAAATTGTTATCATTGATATGTTTTTTATTTAGATATATCCTGACAGCCCTTAATTCATACAAAAGAATTTAAGATCATTTACATGTTGGTACATCATCATCATCATCATACATTTTTTAAACCAATCTTTAATGAAGCCACATCAAATTCGTTGCGAATTGAGTCCATGTTAGTAAAATGGTTCATAGGTTATTTTCCTGACCCACCTTTGCCATTACATGAATCACAATCATCAACACATTTGCTTGCTGCAACATCCCATTTTGTTGCTGTTGTTGTTTCTACAATAGAATAACCCGGTTTATCTTAAAAAAATCGGGGATGTCAACAGCCGACACGGAGAGCAAGATGAGCAATGCATGATGGATTGTCATGCGGTGTCATCCGGCAAGCAGCAGTTGATCATCCATTTCATCGATTCTGTTGGGGACCATCCGTTGTATTTGGAACCTATGAAGGATGTGGGGATGGTTTCTGTAAACCCCATGTTGTGCATGACATGGACGCAACAGGTTCGGACGCTATTGCCCCCCACCCACCCCCCAAACCACCAAAGATGCATTTCGTATTGCGGTTTTCTACCGCCCGACACCTTTTAGAATGCTTTAGTATGCTTTAGTTAGGTTTTATGTTCCAAATTTGTTGCCTGTGGTTTCTAGATCCTGCTGTGTCAACTTGCCAGTTTCCTCCCAAATCGAGTGAAAATCCGTGCCAACCTCGGCCGAATAGGTAATTTGGATGAAGGTTGGAGAAGCAGCAAATATTGTCAGCTAGCTTGTTGGGAAGCTGGCGTTGGCTACGACGGTCATGCTCTCAGCAAAGTGGGAAGTGTGCTTCTCATCGGGCAACTTAAGAATCTCAAGACTTGTCAAATTCAAGTTTGATCCAAAAGAGACCCTTTGCAAAGCTGAGGAGATGAACCTGCAAAGAAGGAATGTGTTGAAAAGGTTCCTCAGGTGGTTGAGTGTTGCGTTTGGGAACCATTTTATCTTGAAATGCTCTTGACTCAAAGACCTTTTTGCAACCTGTGTTGGGCTGGGTTTTCACAGTGCACATTTGCTTGTAGTATGTTTTTGCGGTGGATGTAGTTCTTCTGGCCGTTGTTCTTTATTGGTGTTTTGATGCTGTTTTTTTCTTTGTGTTTCCGTCATGTTCTTCTGGTTTTTCTTCTGGTTTTTCTTCTGGTTCTGTTCGACCTTGTTACAGACGGTTTCCTTAATTTGTTGTCCTTGATACGGACCGCGTCATCAGCGCCCCTGGGGTCGAAAGACAAGCAACTGAACCACCCCTGTCCAAGGTGTTTAGGTTTGCGTTATCCAAAGTTGTTCTTTGCGTCTTGACATGCTTATTGTGTGTCTGTTTCCTGGCGGTTGGGTGGCCATGGCAGCTGTGTTTTTTCCAGTTGTTGCTTCCAGTTGTTTTCCTGTTGTCCTCACAGGTGATGATTGCTCACATGGACCTTGGGAGGGCGAGCAGATCTGCAATTACAATATGGAACGAGTACGTTTTGGCACAGCTGCGAAGGTGTGTCAATCGAAAGGGCTGCAAATCTGCACACAGAAATTGGAAGGCTACGGCTGCTCCTATGACGACATACATGTGTGGACACAGGACCAGCCAACTGTTGCTGCCTGGCATGCGTTGTTTTGCTTGCGATGTGATACTATGATACCGGCCAGGTTTCTTGAGGTCTGTTGCAGTTGCTGTGGTTGCGAACTTTGCCGACCAAACAAAGGTGTTTGAAGATTTTAGCTATTGACACCAGAGTCTTCTGACAATGACAATTAAGGATTAGTTATTATAGTAAATGCGGCTTTGCGCACGACGGCCTGCTTTCACTGCCGTGCACGGTTTTGCCGCTTTGCTTGACGGAATGTCATGGGTATGCTTTCGGCAGGACACATGCAGCTATGAAGTCTTGGTGTATCCTGATGGAATGGTGAGTTCCAACTGGACCAGCAAGAGCAGGCAAAACAAATTCTCAGTCAGCTGGAAGGATGGTAGGTTTCCGTCCAGTCAAAGCTGCCCAGGAGGTTGCCAAGTCTTTGGCGATGTGTGCTCATGCGGGATGACTGAAGAAATTCGGCCTGTTTTCTCGCAAATGCCAACAGTATCTGATCTCGCAAAATTGAAGATTGGTGCAACTCCTCCCATCTCAGCTTGCTCTGAATGTGATGGAAGCATTCGAGTCTACAACCAGGGACAGACTGTAGATGAACACACTGTTTTTGAGCACCAAGGCAAGTTTTACAGCAACAAAGAAAGTGTAGTTTTGGTCAGCGGCGGCTTTGAATTTCGCAACCCTCCAGTGTTCTTGCCATCTGTCTATGCAGAGACGAGGCGCTGTGGTGTGTGGTATCGCGTGACATGATGTTGCATGAACAGAGTTTGGACATGACCCTCCTGGAGCAAGAAAGGGGTCAGTGGGTTCACTGAATAGTTGATTTTTTGCCACATTTTGCTGAACATGCTGTTGCCATTGCAGCAAGGAACTTGCCGCACGCAGTAGTACCACGGATGGCAGAGCGAAGCCACTGATGGACCGAAAGGTGGTTGAGGTCTCCTCTCTTTCTCTCTCTTTCTCTCTCTTTCTCTCTCTTTCTCTCTCTTTCTCTGACTATCTACCTACCTACCTACCTATCTATTTATCTATCTATCTGTCTATCTATCCATCGATCTATCTATCTATCTGTCTATCTATCTATCTATCTGTCTGTCTATCTATCTATCTCTCTCTCTGTCTCCCTCTCTCCCTCCCTCTCTCTCTCTCTCTCTCTCTCTCTCTCTCTGTCTGTCTGTCTGTCTGTCTGTCTGTCTGTCTGTCTGTCTATCTCTATCTGCAAGCTTGAAAACGAAGCTATTCTGCGAGACGTCCTCAGGTTTTGAACTCGACAACATCAAAAACGCAGCAATTCAGCGAGACTTCCTCAATGTTTGCAGTTGACAACATCAAAAACAGAGCAATTTCGCGAGACTTCCTCAATGTTTGAAGTTGGCAAGATCAAAAACGAAGCAATTCTGCAAGACGTCCTTCAAAAATAGAAAGTTGAGTGCACAGCTCACTGCCTCGTACCAATGCGTTTTGCATTTTTTCCACTCCACCTGTCTAAAGTACCGCGCCTGCCATGAAAAAGTGATGCCAGGTCATACGAAGTGCTGCACCTGTCACGCAAAATCATCCTGAAGATCTGATGCTCCAAAATGCAACCCCTCTCAGGAAATCAGCGCCCGGACCTCCTAACAGCTCTGATGAAGATGTCTCTTGTACTGCGCCTGCCACGGAAAAATTCATCTTTGCAGATCCTCTTCAAATGTCCCACGCCTGCCATCGTTTTTGGAAATTCTACAAAACCCTCACGTTTTGCTAACTTTTGACAAGGTCCACAATCCCTTGCGCCTGCCATGCGAAACCACATCTGAACGTCCAAAAGTGGTCCGAACCCCTGGTGTTTTGAACATTTTGACTTCGAAATGTGCTTCGCGCCACAACGCCGTGCACTTTTTCGACATCGCAACTTCGAAAAGTGCTCCAAAGCTGAAGTGTTTTTGTACAGTTTGACTTGGAAATGCGCTTCGCGCCAAAACGGCGTGCACTTTTCCCACATCTCAACTTCCAAAAGTGGTCCGAACATGGTGTGCTTTGTGCATTTTGACTTGGAAACTTCGCGCCACAACGCCGTGCACTTTTCCCACATCTCAACTTCCAAAAGTGGTCCGAACATGGTGTGCTTTGTGCATTTTGACTTGGAAATGTGCTTCGCACCACAACGCCGTGCACTTTTTCGACATCACAACTTCGAAAAGTGCTCCGAAGCTGAAGTGTTTTTGTACATTTTGACTTGGAAATGTGCTTCGCGCCACAACGGCGTGCACTTTTCCCACATCTCAACTTCCAAAAGTGGTCCGGGCATGGTGTGCTTTGTGCATTTTGACTTGGAAATGTGCTTCGCGCCACAACGGCGTGCAATTTTTCATCTCTCATCTGGCCAGCGGGCTCGGCACCGGCCGCTTTAGCGAGCCTACTTTTCGACCCTCCGGAGCCACAAATTATTGGATAAACACAGTGTTTCGCGGCTTTCCTACTTTATCGCGCACCTGGATCTTCTTTCTTCTGAGACTTTCTCTTTTTTGATCTTCTTTTTTCTTCTTCTCTTCTCTTCTCTGACTCTTCCCACCTCGGCTTTTCATCTGTCCATATTGTCGGAAGTTTGACTTCTAAACTTCCTTCGGCTAATATGGACAAGGGCGCTGAGCATTTTTGCTCCCCGTACGGAATTGGAGATTAGAGTGATTAACGAAGTAGCTCAAAAGTTCCACAAAGCACTGGTTGCACTTTGTGGACAAGAAGCTGGAAACAAGATGAAACAAGCACATAGAAGCAGAACCAACAGCCACCGCCAACAACAACGATTGGGAAGATGGTAACGACCAGGACAAGGACGCCAAGATTGACAGCAACGGCGACAGATTCAAGCCATATGACCACCTAGTTTCAGTGGAAGGAATTCAACAACCTCATGAACTCACTTAGTTTATGCCCTTATTGTTCTTGGCATGTTGGAGCGAAAAGTTGCGTCCAGGGACCTCAAACAAGCCGGGCAGGCTCAATTCAAGCAAAGCGTCACCCAGTCATGTTGTTCTACGCATCCAGAAGGAAGTCAAAATGCGAAGGAGGCATGCATGAAATCTGATATGATTGCAAAAAGGAGCAGATACAACGAAATGAAGTCGAATTTCCATGAATTTCCCATATTGAAAATTGGCATTGCAATGATGCACAATGTATGCGAATACCGGTATGAGCTTCCTCTAGGATTTCACGGGGGGTTAACCCCCCAAGGAGGGTTGATTTTCTGTCCTTCGAAAAGCTCGAATTTGCTTAAATGATGCTTTCGAAGTTCCCCCATTTTTCTACAGAACAACTCTTGGAGGCCTCTGAGTCGTAAGATGCTGATTTTCTGGAGAGTTTAGGTGCCCAGAATCCAGAAGCATAATTTGAGCATCTCTGGGAGTACGTTCCTGATTCTTTAGTGATCCCTGATTTTCTAGAGAGACAATCTTTCACAATCCCCTTTCGAGCATTTGAATGGGCTGAAGCCCCCGAGCTGGGGCGGACGATTTTGGCATATTTTAGCCCTACCTTGGATTTTGCCATAGCCTCACAACCTCAATCCAACCATCCCCCTGGAATTTCCCCTATTAAATCAGTGGGCGGGGGAGGCCGCGAAACAGGCATTTGTTTCAACACATATTAGGTGGTTTTTTCTGGTGTTAGGCGCTCTCCACACAGAGGACCTTTAGAAAATGGAACTCCTGGGGGTTCAACATGTGGGAGCCCTTAGAAAAATAAAATCCCTGGTATGTTTATTCTCATGGCGTTCTCTGTATATAAATGATTTTAAGCGCACCTGAAGTTAGAAAGGGTAATTTGTTTCTTTTATTTGTTTCTTTTTATGGATTGTTTGGACCTCCAGAGAATCAAAGTGATTGGTGTGAGATATAAACCTGTTGGATGCCTAGAATACCACATGGGGCAGGTAAATACATGTGGTTTTATAATCCCCCAGCACATTAGGTTTCGTAGAAAAATCACCTTTCTTGAAGCGTACCTGAACAATTTTCCAATTTGATTTACTAGATGTCATTTTGATTTTGATCCAATCACTTCAATATTCTATATAGCGGCATCTTGGGGTGGCGCTTTGCGACCACCCGTTTTCGATCTAGAAAATCAAGGTGGGGGGATCAGCTGAAGTATATAAAGGCGGATACCTAACCATCCTGGAACCTCCACCTTTTCTTTTTAGTTCTCGTGTTTACCTAAGTCGCCAAGTTTTTTGTGCAAACGACTGTCTTGACAAGAATTACATATTCCCGTGGTTTGAGCCTGTTTGCAGCGATTTCGCATTTTTTTGGCCTGCCATGCTGGTACAGCAAGATATCAATTTTCAATTCAAACCGTCCATGTAGCTTGAAGAACCCCAACCACTCGACATGATTTTCTTTTAATTAGCCATGATTTCCAGCAACATGTCATGAACAACATTTTTCTTTTTTAAAACCTATGAAATTTTGCATCCTGTTGTGTATATTTTTTGAAGAGTCAATCAACAGCCACCGACAAACAAACAACATAATTTTACGACCTTGAATTTGTTGAATGTTTTTTTGTGGGCTGTCCTGGGCGACTATTACGGGGTGATACGTCCAGTGAACTGGGTATTTTCGAAGAGTTCGATCGAAAAATTCGAAACCGCACACTGGGTTGGATGTTGGGCTCTAGAAAAAGGGTAGCAGTAACTTGAAGTGGTTTTCAACATGTTTGATATCGTACTTGCAAAACTATGCAATTCAAGTACGGCGGTGTTTTTCTAAGGAAAAATACTCAACATAGCTTCGAAAATGCACTTCTTATACGTGGCCTTCTAGGATACCTCAAATTGGTTTGATGTCTGTTGCTAGATTTTCTTGGGTCCCTAATTTATACAACCTACATTTTCTACTGGAAAATCACATGTGCCAACCTGACCTGGTGAATTCGTGCAGGGATGTACGCAATGTGCGGTGAGGAGGGAAATACACCGTCTCGCCGACTCGCACCTTTAAAACATGGCTCCAAAATGCTCCAAACTCTGTGTTGGAAACGAGGTATTGAAGACTGGAAAGTTGAAAGTTTGAAAGTTAAAGCACGGAGTAGGCTGTATCAAAGAGCCCCAACATGAAGCTGCCTGAGAATGACCAACCACAACACAACTCAACAACAGTGCTCGGACAACGTCTAGACTTACTCGGACTTATATATATATATATATACTGTTATTAGTTATTTGTTTCACTTTCACGTCGCAAAAGGCCACTGAGCCGCTTTGACTTAAACTCCATTCCCAGAAAGCTGCTTGCAAGGCTGTGGGTACACATGTATGAGACTCGTGTGTTTGCCGCCTTTGCCTGTTCGGATTTGTTCCAATCCAGGCAGGCATTGTCAGAGGTTGAGAGCCTCCTTGACCACTTGTTCGAGCACCCAAATACCGCTCCATTCATCAGCTACCGCTTGATTCAAAGACTTGTGACCTCAAACCCTTCACGGGCTTACGTCAAAGATGTAGCAGATGCTTTCAAGACCGGCAAGTACAAAGGGAAACTTGTTTGCATGTCATAAGACAGTAGGGAGTGATTTGCAAGTTCCTATCCGGACGTTAGCACCATTGTGATACAGTTGCTGGTTTTCAAGTTTGTGGAAGCAGCATTTGAGCACAGTGAGGAAGACGTACTCTGGCAGATATGGGGACCTTGCAGCCACTACAGCTGCAATTTTGCTGCATGACGAGGCGCGAATTCCAAGGTCACCTTCTGATGGCGCACTGAGGGAGCCATTGCTGAAGTTTATTCACGTCATGCGCTCATTGGAGTACAAAGACCGGGATCCAGATCGGATGATAATCTTGAAGAATTTGCAGGACTGCTGATGACCTTGACTTGAAGGTATGTCCAGTCCTGTCGCAATTTCTATTTTTACATCTTTTGGATTCTTTTTGCTTCCTCGCAGACAGTCGGCTGAGCTCAGTCAGGAGGACCCCCCAGACTCCAAGACTGCCTTGGTTATCTTAGTTCCCAGTGCCACCCCAGGCAACTGGTCACGAAACCCCTTTTTTGTTTTTTTAAAGGTTTGGGGTGGGGAGGGGGCATGTATGCTTCGTGAACTTCGGGGTTTGGGTGGGGTGGGGGGGATGTTAACGTCCCTGTGAACTTGCTCACGTCATGTACATTCGTGAACTTCGGGGTTGGGGGGTGGGGGGGATGTTAACGTCCCTGTGAACTTGCTCACGTCATGTAATGCTTCGTGACCTGCAGTTTTGGGTGGGTGGGGGGGGATTTTAACGTCCCTGTGAACTTGCTCACGTCGTGTATGCTTCGTGAACTTCGGGGTTTGGGTGGGTGGGGGTGATGTTTAACGTCCCTGTGAACTTGCTCATGTCATGTAATGCTTCGTGAACTTCGGGTTTGAGTCGGGTTTTGGGGATGTTACAGTAACGTCCCTGTGAGCTTGCTCACGTCATGTATGCTTCGTGAGCTTCGGGTTTGGGTGGGGTGGGGGGGGATGTTAACGTCCCTGTGAACTTGCTCACGTCATGTATGCTTCGTGAACTTCGGGGTTTGGGTCGGGTGGGTGGTGCATGTTAACGTCCCTGTGAACTTGCACACGTCATGTATGCTTCGTGAACTTCGGGGTTTGGGTGGGGTGGGGGGGATGTTAGCGTCCCTGCGAACTTGCTCACGTCATGTATGCTTTGTGAACTTTGGGGTTTGGGTGGGGTGGGGGGGGATGTTAACGTCCCTGTGAACTTGCTCACGTCATGTATGCTTCGCGAACTTCGGGGTTGCCTTGGCTTTATGTATATTTCTATATACACAATATTACACAATGAAATTCGCATTTAGACAATCCCCCTTGCAATTTCCACTAAAGAATGGGACAACCCGGGTTGTCGCAAAAAACGTTTTTTTGCTAAAACAGGCGGTAAATCCACATGGCGAACCCGGACTCCCCATTTTTTGCAAAGGCGTCCTGGGTCAGGATTTTTCAGAGAGGGCATTTTGAGGGGCAATAGACAAACTCTGTGAATTTTTGCAATTTGCTAAAACTGCTGTTGTGCGCCGGCCATCGTTTGTATCGCAGATGAGCCAAACAACTTACAACATTGACAACACATTTCAACTGATTTTTCAACCAGCACATTCTTCAGGGACGCCGGACTATTGCACATTCATGAGCGTTTGAAAACAGAGCGTTTGAACATCATATGGTGTTAACCCTCTTGGAATGTTCCCTAGCTAAGAAATAAGCCAACCCGGGTTATCAGTTCCCCCCTGGTTCTTTAGAGATTTAATTTGGAACCCTAAGTTGAGTTTGTCAATGTTTAAAGTGCTGGCCAAAACATGGCTCAAAAAACGCAACCAAACTGACACTAGATATGATTAAAGCAGCAAATTGCATATATTGATTTATACAATAAATATTATGTTTATTGTTTTGCTGGGTATAGCTCTAAAGAATCAAGACACCAGCTCGAACCCAGTCCAGGCCTCATATCCAGACGTCCCCAGGAAATCCCCAAGATCCCCAGGCATAACACCAATTGTCTCTAGAACATCCATCGAAACCCACTGTGTCCGGAGGTAGGACCTGATTCTTTAAGGGCACCCTCCCAAAAAATACCCCAAACTGTGAAAAAACTGCCAGGTTTTGCAGGGTCGACACGCCCTGAGTCTCTAAAGAATCAAAACACCAGCTCAAAAAAAACATTGTGCTGGCAGGACCTGATTCTTTAAGTACACTCTTCCCTGTGTCGGGAGGCAGGACCTGATTCTTTAGTGGCACCCTCCCGAAAATATCCCAAGTTGTGAAAAACTGCCCGGTTCTGCAGGGTCGAAAGGCCTGAGCCTCTAAAGAATCAAAACACCAGCTCAAAAAACCAGTGTCCTGGCAGGACTTGATTATTTAAGGACACCCTTCTCTGTGTCGGGAGGCAGGGCCTGATTCTTTAGTGGCACCCTCACCCTCCCCAAAATATTCCAAGTTGTGAAAAACTGCCCGGTTTCGCAGGGTCGACAGGCCTGAGCCTCTAGAGAATCAAAACACCAGCTCAAACCCAGTCCAGGTCTCATATCCAGACTTCCCCAGGAAATCCTCAAGATCCCCAGGCATAACACCAGTTGTCTTTAGAAGATCCATCAAAACCCATCGTGTCGGAGGCAGGCTTCATTCTTTAATGGCACCCTCCACCAAAGAATCGGACACCCGGGTCAAAGACTGGATATGTTGTTTACAATCAATTTTGATCAAACCAGAAAACTGAAACAAGAGGAGGCAGCCAAAGACAACGCTTTGGCAGAATCTTCTGCTATGACACAAACTGTTGGCAGCAATCCGGCATGGGCAAAAAAAGAAGGGAAAGTTTCATCTCCGATGTGTGAAGCAATCATTTGGGCACATTGGGTAGTTTCATACTGGTTGACATCCACGTGGCTAACACGGACTCCCTATCTTTTAGAGTTCTGCTTTTGTATTTGTATTTTTTGTATTTTTATGTTTTTTTTTGTAGTTGGTTGCCTGGGCCATGATTTTTTAGATGGTCTTAGACCCCCTTGATCCCTGGGTTGGCATTCTTTAGATGTGCCATTTCAGTAGTGCAAGGTGGACCGCCGTTTTTTGTCTAAAGAATGCAGGAGTCCATGTTAGCAGGGGAATTCCAACAGGGATTTTAGATACATATATATATATATATGTATACAAACATGTGCATACACATACATTTTTTCACAAATCTTCTTGTTTTTATTTTTGCGTGTAAATATATTTCTCATATTTCTCACTTACGTGCACACACACATATGTATATATGTTTTTTATTAAATGTATGTATATTTAATCTTTATGTACATATATACTTATGTTTGAACAAATTAACTTGTCGGGGAATGTTCCTTTGCACTTTCTCAAACAATTGGCCAAAGCTTGCAACGCTCGCTGATAATGGCGCAAGAACAAAAGAGCACAAGCCGCAAAGAACAAAAGGTGCCAAAAAACACCGGTTGCCCAAGGGCGGGGCGACCTCTTAGTTTAGCTGGCTGAGCGCTGGCTTGGCTTCACATTGGGAGGACACCATCGGAGAATTTCCTTTCCAACATCCATCGGTCTTCAGCTATTACTTGCCGGACTTCAAGCCAGACAACTTCCCTGATGGAATGGTGGCACCAGAGTTCCAGGTCTTCACTCCCACCCAGATCATCAGTGCCTTGCAGAGAAGGCAAATCTTGTGGGCAATTAATGGTAATTATTCATAATTACTCAACAGTAACCAACACTATTCACGAAAAAATAGTTCTGTTAACTGCGTCGTTTATTGTGTATGCCGCCGTGTTCGTGAGAGTGGCTTTATGACCCCACCTGGCTCGCGCTGCTAAGACTTCGTGAACGGGGTGTCTGCACTGATCGACCACGGACTAAGTGACTGCTCTAGAGGCTTCGGAGAGAGTGAGCCGACGTGTGCCTATGGTGAGCTGCAACTAGGACAGAATGGACAAAGTGGAGATCAAGCAGACTACAACAGACCGGCAAGGGGTGCCGCTACTCCAGACTTTCCTTCATATCTTAATACTAATCTTCCTGATCTTCCATACCCTCACCCTGCCTCTTGTGTCTCTTTGTATCTTCTAGATCTTCTTGTTTGCCTTTGCAGTCTTAACATCTCTTATATATCCCGTTTGTTCTAAGTTGTTTCTGTCACCTGCCTCTTCTTGCCCTGCCTTCACACCTGCACAGCCGGCTGGAGCGTAGGAGTCGGACAAAGGAAGTGCTGAATATAGAAGTCAAGAAGACGTTGCAGATCATTGCAAATCGCTGCAGATCGTTGCAGCATGTTACAGCATATGACAATTTGCCAAAAATAGTTGACAGAAGTTTCGTACTGGTTGTTGATAATTAGTGTGAATCTAGTGGTTTTTCCTCTTCGTTGTAAGGCGGCACGCAACTAGATTCACCAATTCTGCAAGGCAGCGCTAGCAAACCGCAAACCCGCTAGGTTTGCGCTACAGTAGTTGTTTCTAACATCCATGTTCAAAGATTTTTGTATGTGTTGCTGACTGCTTGGTATTTCAACATGAAGAAAAAATAAGATATAACACTTAGCGCCTTAAACCTAAGGATGTCTTAGTGAAATTCTCCATCGAATAATCTAATAATATCTCATAAGCAACACCACGGGTCGGGAACTGAACATCGAACATTTGTCCTTGCGATTTTACGACAATGTAACAACTGATCATCTTTGAGAAACGTTGTATTTACATGAATTATATGTATTTACATTTTAGTTGCCGGTGCAGAGGCCATTTTTTAGCACAATGTAATTTCACCGCAGTTTCATGGCGTGTCCTTTTCTTCCTTCACTTCATTTGCGTTTGCGCCATTGAACATCATGTAGCGTGACTGACATCTGCATATGTGCCATGCTCCAACCTCCAGGAGCTAGTACTTATATTACATGAATTTGTACCAGTAGTACAGCACAAGGCGGTGGCGGAAGTTTCAAAAATAGGAAACCTATAGGAGAGGTGAGTTGTTGTGAATCACGAATGGCAGAGCCAATCCACTGATGGAACGAAAAGTGGTTGGAGTTGTGTTTTTTGGAGTGGTTGCAATGGTTGCAGTGGTCACCTCACCCACAACTGCTGGATGTAGTGTGATGTAGCGCAGTTGTAGCTGTAGTTGTAGCGTAGTGGGGTTGTAGTTGTAGTGTAGTGAGCAAAAGTGCAGTTGTAGTTGTAGTTGTAAAGTAGTGTAGTCTAATGTAGTGTGTGTGCGTGTGAAGGTAGTGTAGCTGCAGTGTAGTGTAGCTGCAGTGTAGTGTAGTGTAATGTAGAGTTGTGTAATGTGGAGTAGCAGTAGCAGTAGCAGCAGCAGTAGCAGCAGCAGTAGCAGTAGCAGTAGCAGCAGCAGTAGCAGTAGCAGTAGGAGTAGTAGTAGTAGTAGCAGTAGGAGTAGTAGTAGTAGTAGCAGTAGTAGTAGTAGTAATAGTATTGTACTAGTACTAGTACTAGTACTAGTACTAGTAGCAGCAGCAGCAGCAGTAGTAGTAGTGGTAGTGGTGGTGGTGGTGGTGTTGGTAGTGGTAGTGGTAGTAGTGGTGGTAGTGGTAGTAGTGGTAGTAGTGGTAGTAGTGGTAGTAGTGGTAGTAGTGGTAGTAGTAGCAGTAGTAGGAGTAGTAGTAGTAGTAGTGGTACTAGTGGTGCTAGTGGTACTAGTGGTACTAGTGGTACTAGTGGTACTAGTGGTGGCCGTAGTTGTAATGTAGCGTACTGTAATTAGCGTAGTGGAGCGCAATGTAGTTGTAGTTGTAGTTGTAGTGTAGTTGTAGTTGTAGTTGTTTATCCATCTATCTCCATCTATCTCTCTATCTGCAAGCTTGAAAACGAAGCTATTCTGCGAGACTTCTTCAATTTTTGAACTTGGCAACATCAAAAACGCAGCAATTCTGCGAGACGTCCTAATTTTTTTGATTTTTTGACCTTGATAACGTCAAAAGCAATGCAATTCTGCGAGACTTCCTCAATGTTTGAAGTTGGCAAGATCAAAAACGAAGCAATTACGAAGCAATTCTGCGAGACGTCCTTCAAAAATGGAAAGTTGAGTGCAGAGCTGACGGCCTCGTACCAATGCGTCTTGCCACTCCACCTGTCTAAAGTATTGCGCCTGCCACAAAGAAGTGATGCCAGGTCATACGAAGTTCTGCACCTGTCACACAAAATCATCTTCCCAAAGCTCACGATCTAATGCTCCAAAATGCAACCCCTCTCAGGAAATCCCCGCCCTGATCTCCCGCGAAATGCATCTTTCCAGATCCTCTTCAAATGCCCCACGCCTGCCATCGTTTTTGAAACTGCTACAAGACTTTTGCTCATTTTCGACAAGGTGCACAATCTCCTGCGCCTGCCACTTCTGAACGTCCAAAAGTGCTCCGTGCCCTTCTGTTTTTTTACATTTTTGACTTTGCTTCGTGCCACAACGACGTGCACTTTTTCGACATGTCGACTTCCAAAAGTAGTCCGAGCATGGCGTGCTTTGTACAATTTGACTTGGAAACGTGCTTCGCGCCACAACGGCGTGCACTTTTCCGACAGCACAACTTCCAAAAATGCTCCGACGTTAGTGTTCTTTGTACGTTTTTACTTCGAAATGTGTTTCGCACCACAACAGCGTGCACTTTTTCGACAGCTCTACTTCCAAAAGTGTTAGCACTTTTACTTGTAAATGTGCTTCGCGCCACAATGGCGTGCAATTTTTCATCTATCATCTGGCCAGATGGCTCCGCGCCCGCCGCTTTAGCGAGCCTACTTTTCGACCCTCCGGAGCCACAAATCATTGGAAAAATGCATTGTTTCGCTGCTTTCCTACCTTTTCACGCGCCTGGATCTTCTTTCTTCTGACCTTCTCTTCTTTGATCTTCTTTCGTCTTCTCTTCTCTTCCCTTCGCTTCGCTTCGGTTCTCTTCTCTTCTCTTCTCTGAGTCTTCCCATGTCTGCGTTTCATCTGTCCATATTGTCGAAAGTTTGACTTCTAAACTTCCTTCGGTAAGCCTTATAGGCACTTATCAATTATGAACATTACTGCACGCCCCCCACCCCACCTGAACAGCATAGCACAAACAAATCACCGGGTCGAAAGGGCCGTCAAAATACCCATGAATGGAAATGTGTTAAAACACATTTCAAAAACACAAAATGTGAATGCCTACACGTTTGGATTTCGACCCAGTGGCAGAAAAAAGTTTCCCCCTGCTCTTCTTGTTCGTTGGTCAGAACCGCTTGGCAAAATTAACAAGCTGGAGAGTCGCTAATCACGCGCAGCACCGTGCGAGAAAGATAGAAGTTGAATGAGAAGATTAGTGAAAGCTTCCACGTTGAGAGGACCTTTGGATTGCATACAGCCATCACTGGATCAGCTCGATTTGCTGCTGACGGGTGGACGCATTCACAATAAAGCCATTCTGCGAGCTGCATATGATGAGGCAGCAGGGTCGGATCGCTACAAGGCCAGAAACCGGGCCAAAAAAAACATGTGCCGGGACCATGCGCCACGCAGGCGGTACAGTATCCAATGGTATTCAGGTGTTACACAGACGTTCAAGACTTTGAGCTATGCCGGTTATGCCCGGTAAATCTAGGACCCTGGAAATAAAATATAATTACTGGAAAAATAGTTTAGGGTTCCTCTGATCCTTTGGTCTCCTGGTCCTCTGTTCCCCTGGTCCTCTGGTCCCCTGGTCCCTTGGTCCTCTGGTCCGTTGGTCCTTGGGTCCTCTTGATCCCCTGGTCCTTTACCTTCCTCATCCTTTGATCTCCGGAACTAGCCCTCTGCAAGCCCGAAAGCAACCTTGAATAGGCCACAAACCAACCGTCAATAAAACCTAAACCAACCGTCCTACATAAACATCCCTAAAACGAACTGAAAGAAACACCAAAAAAACATCCAAACAACCCTAAAAAACTAAACCAAAACTAAACAAACCTTAAACATCCTTAAACTTAAAACAAAATCAAACACGCACCAAACCAACCATAAATCGGTACCAAAAATATAAGATATAACAAATGTTAACATAAAGAAACACCGAAACAACCATAAATAAACCCTCAGCAAAACCTACAGAAACCATAGAATTAAACCCTAAACCAGCACTAAATAAACCAATGCACTACAGAACAAAGACCGAAACAGATGTTAAAACTACCACTAAATAGAGTTTAAACATGTCCATGTCTAAACCAAAATTCAATAGACCTTGAAACAATCGGAAAGAACACCAAGCCAGCACTAAATTCACACTACAACAACTTCAAATCGACACCAAACAAACACCACGCCAACTCCAAATCAACACTAGACTATACAACACAACCCGAAGCAAACCTTAAAAAAAACCCTAAAGAAAACCTAAAGCAACCAAATCTAAACCGTAAAACAATTTAAAAGCACAAACTAAGCGTACAGAGACCCTAAAATCAACCAGAAACTTAAAACTAATTCTAGACATAATATGTTGCAAAATACCACGAAATACTGCAGATAATCCCCTGCGTAGTACGATGTTGGCTTCAAGATGCTGCGAGCACGGTGCAAACATGTGCAAACAAGGAATTCAAGGCCAAACGCTTTAAATGCCATGCAAATTGCATGTTTCAAGTTCCAAAACCCTGCAAATATATTGTACCAATAAGAGATTTCAGCTGCAAAAAATGCTCAAAGTACAGGTTTTTAAGTTTTTTCCAGTGTCTTAAGTTTTTTTCCAGTGTGGAGAGTTGGAGTGAACCTTAATTTATTTTTCCAGTGTCTACCCCGCAGACCATCACACCCTTGGTTCTTCATGATGTTCTTCACTTGATTTCACTTGCACATATAGGTGGCGCAGAAGGCAGTGATCCTCAGCCCAGAGTTCAATACTATTGGACATCCATTTCCAATGGGTGTGCGATCACCAACTCCACCAGAACCTGCGAAGGAACCACAAGAGTATAAGGCCATGGTCATGGTCTTTCTCAACGGAGGTGCAGACTCTTTCAATATGTTGGTTCCAATGAACTGCCCTCTCTATGATGAATACCGAGATGTCCGTCAGCGTGTTGCCTTGGATCCAACTACGTTGCACAAAATCAACGCTACTGGCCAGCCCTGCTCTGAGTTTGGGATCCATCCAGAACTGGATGTCTTCAAGGAGTTGTACGACAGCAATGAACTTGCTTTTGCAGCAAATGTTGGATCATTAGTCGAGCCTTTGGACAAGGCATCTTACAAAGATGGATCAGGTGAAAGGCAGGACTTTAGGAAATTTAGTGAAGGCCCATTTTATTGTTAAGTTTTGCTGAACAACTAAGCATTAAAAATCGCAATTCGGATTTTAGTGGGTTTCATGAAAATTACTCAACAGACAACGGATCTTGCAAAAAGCGGCAGGTGCGTGGGCTTGTTCTCGCATTCTGACCAGCAGCGGGCAGCACAAACGCTCACCTGCCAGTACGCGAGTGCTTCCAACAAAGGCGCAGGTGGAAGGCTAGCAGATGCTCTTGCAGCAGGCTTGCAAAAGCCTGGCAGATGGGGTGGAAAACCCATGGTTTCCCAGAAAATGATTTACACATGTGGATTTTCCACCGTGTTTGTTAGTTTATAGGAGGGTAGATGTAATTACAATATATTACAATAATATAGATTAACTCTGACGGTTCATGGAGTTTCCTTGATTAAATGTTGCAATATTATGCCACTGAGTTCGAATAATTAATTTGGAATGCATACTTTGTGAGACTTTGTCCCCGGAGGTACCAAGAAACTTCGGACAATGTCCTTTTCACTGAAGGGCTCCCAGCCATGGACGCAAGGGTTCGACACCAGCGCGCAGATTTTAACGAACGGTGAGCCCATCGGTTTGCAAAAGGAAGGCCAACTACAAGTTATCATCGACAACATTACAAGCATAAAACATGGCAACATCTACTGCGAGGAGCCCAAGCAGACAAGAGCTAACAAGCTGAGATAAGCTGAGCTAACAAGTAGGGTTTCTTTCCATTTTCCTTATTTGAAAGTTGCCTGATGTTTGTTGAAATCTACAGAATCTATATGAATCTATCAAGATTTTACTTGCAAGTACTTGCAACGTATTCAACGTATTCAAGATCTTGCGATCATGTTACAGCACGCTGCTATGCAATGCAAGCGAGATTGGGCTTTTGTATGGAGTTGTTTGATGATTTTGATGTTCTCAGCATCAGCCTAGACTGATCAACACAGGAGTATAGCCAAAAAGTTGCCGCCGCCCTTGACTTCAATGCAAAGCTACGAGCAAGTTTACGAAGTGTGGAGCTGAAGACCAGCTTCTATACCGACAACAAAGACTTGACCAAGCAACTCAGGGAGGTGGCGCGTCTTATCGCTACCAGTGCTTCAGCTTGACTCAGCTTGACATAGACATTGGGATTCATTGAGATCCATTGAGCCAGTCGGAAAGACTAGAAGTAGAAAAACGGTGAAAAAACGGCAAGACCACCTTTTGCATCTTTAATCATCTTTAGCTCTTTTCCCGATTGTTCCACATGATTCCACATGTGTGCAACATATTTTCCATATCTTGCTTGCATTTTTCAAAAAGAATTGATGAGCAAAATTCAAAGCCACCAAGGGGCTCAGAGGAGAGTTGAACGGGACCTTTTCTTTGTGCAGCTTGGTGGCTTTGACAATCATCGCGACGTCGGCAGAGAATTGCCAAGGAGGTTTGATTCGGTGAATCACGGCTTCAAAAAGTTTGTGGCAGAGATGAAAGCCCAGAATCTGTTTGAGTCAGTGGTGATGGTGACTCATTCAGACTTTGCTCGGACTTTGACCCCTAACAGTGGTGCTGGGACTGATCATGCCTGGGCTGGAAACTATGTCGTTGCTGGTGGAGGCATCAAGGGTGGCAAGATCTTCAATTCGTTTCCAAAGTCTTTGCTTCCTGGAGCAGAACAGGATGCTGGTCGTGGACGTTTGATTCCCAAGTTTCCCTTCGAGAATTTTATGTTGCCAATTGCTCAGTGGATGGGCTTGGAAGAATCGCAATTTCAACAGGTTTTTCCGAACGTCGGCAACTTCAACTCCTCCAGCTTTATTGACAAGGTAAATTTGTTCAATTGATTCTCTCTGGAAAGGTTGCAATTGTAAATCATTGGTTGAGTCGTGACTCAGTATGATTCATTCAGAATTGCAATGCTTGTGTATTCAAAGCTTGAAACGCTTCTTTGCAATGCAATTTATCGGATTTAACGATGGTTTGGCAGAGTTTTCAACCTTGTCCGAGACAAATTCGTGCATTTTTGTGCTTCCGCCCGTCATCCAAGCCGCACCGGTAGCCACGAGATGCACATCGGGTGCCGCTTGGCCATACAGATGTCACCGATGCAAAGGGCAATGCTTAGAGAAGGGGCAAATTTGCCTTGACAAGCCATTAAACTGTTGATATTTTGAAAATAGTGAAGTTGAAGAAGGTTTAAGAGATTTCACAAGTCCTTTTTCAGTCCCTTAAACAAATTGATGGAAATGGTGCAGCAAGGAATCGGCCCCGATGTTTTTGCCTTTTGCTTTGAAGTCGCAGGGCAGCTTTGCGTATAGTGCAGCATGTTCTTGAGTTGAGAAAATCAGGAAGAAGGAGCGCCTGGCGCATGTTCTGAAGACATACGAATTCTAGACATGACCCGGGTTTGCACTGAAACAGCTGACTCCCAAGCAATTGGTGATTTTGATACCTTCAGAACAAAGTGAGACATGAAGATTCTTGACAATTCATGGAAAAAGCTCAGCCGCTTTATACCTCCCCCAGTCTCAACATGTGTCAGAGTATGTCAACCCCTCGGCCTTTTCTTTTCCAGTTTGCATCCTGAGGCAGGTTTCTTCCACAGCACCTTCACCGGCTCATCAACCGCTTGAAGGCGATCTCATTGTGCACGCGCATTGGTGTGAGTGTGTGTATGTGTGTTCCTTCTGAAAAATCCATACTCTAATCAATCGCTTGTTCCCAGTTTGAATACAGTTGCATGTTGAGCATCAAGAGCCATTTGCTAGCACGTGCTCCAAACTCATCCTCTAGGTGAGCCGTTGTGGCCATGGCACCTCAAGATCACAGACTTCAATAGCGCAAAGAGGGTGGGAGCATGTGGTAACGGCTCTTTCCTCAGACAATCCCGCTGATGCGTTTTGATTCTGCTGACTTAGTCCTTTGCAGAATCCGTTTTGCTTGCACAAGGCCATTTTTGCCTCAAATATCGACAAGCTGCATCAGTAGATTTGGAATAGTTCATGAATGTTAGACATTCCAACATGGGACATACCATTCCATGCAATGTCCTTGTTTCTTGAAGCGCAACTCTCACCAAGGATTACTCCTAACAGATCGTGGCACGTCCTGGCCTCATAACATTTGACAAAGCTATCACTCAAGTCCTTCATGATCCTTTGAGGTGTTGGACATGTGCGGATGTAATTGTAAACGATTCTTTAAAAAAAGCTGCAGCGACTGCACTGGAAATGAGAAAGAAAGAAGAACCAATAAGAACCATGCCATGAAGAACCAAAGCCTCGTGGACCCGGTGGAGCGTGGCGTTTGACCAAATGTTCCTTTGCCTTCACCCAGGCAGCTCTACAATGCACCTGAACTGAGGTGGAAGCACAAGTGATTCTGAAAGATTCTGAAAGTACAGACTTCATCATCATACTTTTCCATGCCTTAACATTCCATCTTACTTTTCAAGCGCTTTTTCAATTCTTTGTATTTGGTGTTGGGATCAAGCCAACACACAGAGTTGCTAAGCTGTCGTCCCGTCCTTGGCGCAGGTTCGGGCGCCTTTGGAACGAGCGCATTGACATTTGGGCGAGCGGGTTGGAGACTCTACATGACCTACATGGTCTCTTCGTAAGTTTGCTCTAGAAAACATGGTCAAACGCCAGCAATGGTAGCACCATCATCCTGAAAGGTAGGTCTTTTAATACTTGGTGCTGATGCCTTTCCAGGTTGTGTTTGTACTTCATGCTCAAGAAGCACGTTCCCTTCACCATAGGGGACCAGAAGGTAGCAGATGATTTCAGATGACCACCCAAGATAGCGCTGTCTCACAGCATCTCTCCTATCCGCAGTCTACTCTTGTCTTTTCACTGTCAGCTCATGTGGCAGAAACATGCTGAAACGCTGTCGTTGCATGTCGTTGCCTGTTCTGCGTCGCTGTGTGGGTTTGGTCCTGGAAGTCTGACAGGTTGCCGGCACACTGCTCGCAGGCTCCGCCAGCGGTTCTGAATAGTATTGAATCGTATTGATATGTGCAGAGTGTGAACAAAGCCCACGAAGGCCCAAAGTATTAATATAAAGTATCCAAAGTCAAGCCAAGCAAGCTAAGGTATGCCATGCTAGGGGTGCTAAGCCACCAAGTCAATACGTCACTAATCCGTTCTAATATGTTCTAATCCATACTAATCCCCTTTTTGATGTCCATGGAGGCAAGCTTCCCTACATCGACTGGAGTACCATGTCTCCGTTGGCTGGCAATTTAATCAGGCCAGATCTTTCCACTACCTCAGACATCCTCAGACACTGTAACGCGATTTCTCCGAACCTGTGTGTGTTCAATAGCTTTGGCAAGCACAATGTGCAAATAGTTACAGAAAACTCCGTGTGTGTGTGTATCTGTGTATTGCGGACTCATACAAAATCAGCTTGCAGCAGGCAATGCCTTTGTGTAGAACCTTATGATCGACCGACAGCGATGGAGCTGTTTGGCCCTTAGTGAAAGTTCCATTTGGATCCACTTGGATCCATCTGGATCCAGTTGGTCAAACATGATTCTATTATATTCAATTTATATTCTATTATCCAATTCTTGCTTTGTGTTTCTTTGGTGATAATTTCAGCAGCGCGATGCCTTCACTGACGACGTACTCCCCCTCTTGGTCTCATTCTTGGCCCAGTACTGCAACACTCTGCAAGTCAAGTGGTGATTGGGTGTGATTGGTTTCCACTGGCACCCTCATGTTTTTTCTAGATTGAATGTAGGTGTTGAATTAGAACCCCAACCCAAGGGGCATTTAAGTGTGACGGTATTTTTGGCCTCTTTTGTTTGTGTTTTGGGGTTCCCTTCCCAAGTTGAGTGATAATTGATGATAATTGGTTAGAGTGCAGGTGAGAAAAAGATGGAAATAGGCAGAAGACAACGAACATTTATTTAATCAAACGAATCTTCAAGCACGGACAGAAATCGTGCATTCAAGTGCAACTGTGCATTTCATCTTGACTGGTGACGTGGGTGGATAATATCAAATGATATAAAATAATACAAAATATAATATAAACATAAAATAGATGAAAATAAATGAAAATAATATGAATATATGTACGTAAGATAACCCAAAAGCATATCAAGCAATGCAGCCACAGGGTATTGAGGATTCAGCTGCAAGCAGGTTTCGCTCAGGAAACATCGTTACATGCATATCAATGTGAGGGTCATTCAGGGATGATGTAGGGATTTTCACACGCTATCCGAAAAAGTTGCAGCGTGACAGCGGTGGAAAATGATACCAGCACCAGATACTTGCCCTTGGAATATTACAAAGGTATCAAAATGTGAAAACGATCTAGGGGGAACTTCAATTTGATATTTCCCACATACCAAAGAAAAACATCGCTCATATTTATATTTGGTTAATGAGTTTATAAACTCAAATACCACACATTTCAAAGAAAAAAGAAAGTAAATCAAACTGTTGCGGTACAGTATATCACAAGTCCCACGCACTGGTGGCAAAAGACGGGGGCCCAACCTACAAGTTCTGGCGTGTTTTCATTTTCCGAATTCGATATTTTTTGGGATTTGCAGTTTAACAATAGTTTGGACCCTTTTGGACCCGTTTGGACCCGGTCCCCAGATTGCTTGGCTAGGCGTTTGCACCGCTTCTTTGCATCCAAGAGAATGCCGGAATCAAGGAGACTTTGCAAAGGGATCCCCCGATGATGTTGCGTTCTTCGTTATCCATTTCATCCCTAGCCTGCATTTTTGTCGACAGTGTATACGATGGATGATAGTGAGATATCATGAGTGATTTGCCGCTTGAATCTGCTTGGTTGCTTAGCTTTATCATGCTCATGTTCATTATATTGATATATATATATACTATATACATATATTATTGATCATATTATGCATGATATGAACTGATATGATGCATGGTGTGATGCTTCATGGTTTGACTGTGGTCATTTCACGGTGCTCGGCATGTTGCAGGAAGGGCAGCATCGAGCATGTCGAGGCGCGGCGCCTTCGTGATCTTTGTGCGTCTGGAGCTCCATAGATTTGTAATGATAAAATGTCCTCTTCTCGGAGACTTTAATTTACTTGTCTTGTAATGTCTTGTATAGATTTCTGTGAATTTGTTACATAGGTTTTGATATGAAGTATTAAATTTAGAGAAATTTTATATTGATATATTATTGTATGATATATCAATATAGATTCATCTAAACACGACCGAACGCACGTTCGGGATTTCATGCTGTTTGCGCTAAAACTACAAGAGATTGCAAGAGTATGCATGTGAGAAGCTGTGAGAGCTTACAATATCAATATTACATAATATTACGTTCAAAGGGTATGCAGCAGTATGCAATAGTTTGGTTTTCTCAGACTACTGTTGAACCGAGATTCAGAAGGTCTGAAAGAAATGAGGACAAACCAAAGAAGGCTATATAATATTATATAGTGATGCTGCGTGCCCCTGTGACTTGAGAAATGGGCCATGGCGAAAATGGCCATTGGGCCTTCCTTGCCAATCTGACGGACAGGTTCGCGATCGAAGAGAGTCCAAGGCCCGCCGAGATTTGGCAGGTAGGTTTTTTTTTCCCGCCAGGATCATGTTCTGAAGTTCCCATGACTTTCTGCTGAATTTTCACTCAAATCGCTATGAATCCTTAAAAATTCTCATTGATATTGTTCTCCCATGTTGTCACTATGGCAGGAATCCCTCAGCACCGGTACATCGAGTTTCACTGCCAGTCGCCGTATGTCACTTGAGAATGCTCCTCTTGAAGCTTGGAACATCATGAAAGGAAGCCTGATGCTTCCTGAATTCTTTGAGCTTGAGCACCTTTTGGCATGGGGGAATCTTGTGAAATGGGGTGGAGCCAAATAAACGACTAAATTGCTTATGGACCTATATTACCTGGTCAATCTAGGCTGCAAACTCTAAGAGAGAGTGAAAATCAATTGGACAACAATGGCTGACAACGGCTGCACAAGCTATATAATGTTAAAGAATATCATGAGAAAATAGGAAGGATTCAAGGGTCCATCAAGAATTGCGTAACATCGTTGTAAGGGTTGCATCTTTCTCATTTGTTATGAAACCTATCGCTCAGCAACAAACTGAGCCTTTATCCAAGCTACCAGTCCCTGGAACCTATCCAAGCTGCCAATCCAAGCCTTGTACAGGCGCATCTTTTCCATCCATAATCCACATTTTCAGATTCATTGGAGCTGGATAGCTGCCAAGAATATGGTTTGTGCATGTGTATGTAGTGGCAAGCCAACGAAAAGCCTCTACTATAGGGATACTGACTCAAAATACTCAACATATCACAAAGCACTAGTCGCCTTGGGATTCTGGGCATGATGAAATCTTCAAAAGTCTCAAGATTTCTCAAGATGTCCCAAGAATCTCAAGATCTCAAGACCTGTAAGACCTTTTCTATCCTTTTCCGGCCGTCATAGGTCTTTGCGTTCACAGGTCGTGGATCCAAATCCAAACCCAACTAAAAGATACTAAACGTTGAAATACGTTGAAAGGATAGTAAAGTCAGATAGAGTCGGATAGGGTCGGGATAGGGTCGGGATAGGATCGGGATAGAGGGCAAGCGACGTCTAGGAGTTTGACCCAGTGACAGATGTGACAGGCTGAAAAATACCTGGAGCAGATTGAAACCATATAAAAATGATTAAAAATGTATAACCGTATAAAATATAAAATATGAAACCATATGAACCCATACAAAACGGTGCATTTTTACACGTGCTCCGAAAAGATGTGTTTTTTTGTTCAAGCTCAAGCTCAGGAACGCTCTGTGATGGTCTCGTGCAGCCATGCAAGTTTTGTGGGCAGATGAAGGGTTGCTGAAAACTGTCGAGTGAATATGTTCCAGCATGGTCCAGTTCAAAGCATGCGAAGTGTTTGCGTTTTATGTTGATTGTGGGACGTGCCTATTCTGTCCACTACAGGTCATGAAATGTTTAAAGTTCACTTGACATGCAAGACATTTAGCTATGCTTCGTAGATCATCATGTGTCATTTCGTACCCATGGATTTTGCTCTGACAGCTGTGGCAGGTCATGCGGGCTGATTTTTATGGGACCTGCACGCGCAGGCAGGCAAATATATACAAGATATATACAAGATTGTTTGCAGATGTTTGCAGCATGGGACTGCAATGAATTGCCATAGAATTACTATAGAATTATATATAGAATTATATAGAATTATAATGAATTATATAGAATTGCAAGATGTTGGACCATGTTGCAAGTCGTTCAACCATCAACGGTTGCATTATGATAGCGCAGCCTTTCAGCAGCTGTCCCTTCCACACAGGGGCTCCAGTAGATGCAGATGACGGCTGACAGGGATACTTCCACCATCTTTGAACCATGGTACATATTGATATTGATTACATGTTGATCATATTGGATCCATATTGGATTCATATTGGATTCATATTGGATTTGGATGGATCCGGAACATCCATTGAACATGTTCCAAGAGAATCCCTTGTGAACCTTGTGACATATTGCATGATCATGATGCATTGCGGCATAAATGCGGCATATTGTGACTGCATTCCAATAGCTGAAGCTGAAGCTTTGGAAGTGCAGGTGGTGAGGGTCGCCACAACCGCGGCTCTGTGTGGTTGGAAGTGGAGGCCTTTCTTTGCAGAGCCGTCTCGAAACTAAGCATTTGTTCTTTAAATTGGTTGTCCTTCATGGTCCTTCGCTGGTGAGTGAGCTACATGGCAGTTGCATGAACAGTACAAGGTGTTTGGCAAGCACTTTCTTGCCACATCATTAAGCTCGGGCTTTGCCCGCCAAACAAGGGCTCTTTACGGTTAGGGTGCTCTATCCTTGCTTGGTTCGTAATGTGCAAGTTTGGGTCGATCTGACATCATCATCTCCTTTCTGATCCCAGTATATAGTGCTCTGATAGATCCAAAAGAGGCACGTTGAATTTGCTTCAGTGATCTTCAGTGCATGAAAGTTGCTGTCCTATTTGTTTGTGATGCTACGCCATGTGTAGATTCACACATGAAGATGCATATGTCTATTGACAAATCTGTCTCTCGATCCACCGATACCAATCTACCCCATCTATCTAATCCATTGAAATCCAGTCCAATCTAGTCTATATAATCCAATCTAGATCTTATCTCAATTTGGTCTGTATCGTATCTTATCCTGCTTTAAATTACCTTATCTTATCCTGTCTGCCAGTATTTGTATTTGTTAGCCTGAATTTTGCGGTCGCACGTCTCTGGTCGCAGGTCATTTAAAATGTGTTTTAGAACTGCTCGCTTTGTAATTTGTGAAGTGGCCCGTGAATGCGACCTGTCATAGCCCTCTTTGTTTAGACCATTCGCGACGTCAGTCCAGGTGCAATACTCTTGCTGTAAAAGGATGCAAAATTTGAGCAACTCGTACATGCTCCAACTATCTCCAACTATAAATTGGAGGCAGCTAAGTTCATCCGATGCAAATCAATCGATATCAGTCGTACATGAACATACATGAACCACAATTGCTTGGCAATTATCATGGCGATGACGTAGACGACAATGAAGGCCTTGATCACCATGATGACCATGACAATGATCGGGATGAAGCTGGGAATGCAGCAAAACAATGATGTCAAAGGATGTCAAAGGATGTCAAAGGTGTAGGACGCGGCACTCAACTTCTGTGATTTCATACATCACACTTTGCCCTGCCTATGCGTTCCTCGACATGATCCCATTGTGAAGATTGAGGTTAATACCTTGTAAACATTGAGTGATAGTCGTAGAGCAGGTATTGAATCCACTTTCACATGGGTTTTGTTTCCAAGCCAGGCCTTGGACAAGGTCATGACTGAAGAGGTAACACATGTCATTTTTTTAAGTGCTTTTGCTGTCTCAAACATAAGATATTCTGATAGCGGCAGATATTACAAACATGATATGACACCTTGGTGTTTCATCCACCGAGAGGAATAGCTGATGGCAGAAAAGATACTTTACAACTTTCAATATTTTACAATAAATTATACGTTTATATGATATGTATGTTATTTATGTAATATTTATAATATATAAGTTGAAATATATCGACCCCTGAGCCCCACCATGTATAGCATAGGTAGTAGGTCTAGTATTGGCATGCCGTAGCTATGATTCCATAACATCCCAAGTAGTTACTCCGAATACCTTGTGTACAGTAGTAGCACCTCATACCTAGAAGCGTTAGGTATGTAGATAGCCTAGAGTTTATCCCAGGGTCGTAGTTAGCCTTCCCAACAACTACCGGGTAGGTCCTTAACTCCCGCTGTTTGATGCTCATGGCTCAAGTGCACAAAAGTGTGCTTGCTGTTGTATTTCATGCAGGGTTTGTCGGATCGGGTTCTCTCCTTTTTGTGGGTGCCTGGTTTGTCCCCCTGTTTGACTGGTTATCAGCCGTAAGGCTTTTCGTTGGGGAACCTGATCCGGTAAAACCTGCCTTAGGCCCTAACTTCTGTTCGCACTTCACTGTTCTTTGTTGCATGCCCCCAGGCAGTTCGGAACAGGTCGCTGCTGATTCCAGCGCGACGGTAACTCCAGCCGAGGGAGTCGAGGCAGCTGAGGAAGCAGAAAACGTTGAGGTGTCGCCTCCGTGGCCTGCTGAACCAGTAGCTGAGACATCTCAAAGCTGGGCCGATCTGTCTGAGGTACAAGCGCCCGTGCCTTCTGGTGTCGACTCCATTGTGACAGACTCTACAGATCCCCAAAGATCACTGGTAGAGGTTAAGGAGGAGATCCACGAGGCCGAGAGCATCAGTGCGGTAATTTCAGCAATTGGCTTGCCAGAGGAGGTCGCTGACGATCCCGTCGCGACGGAAGAAACTGGGGTTGACACTTCACTTCAAGATCAGTCATTTTTGGAACCACCTTCTGATTTGGGTAACCCAGCGGAAGCTGCTTTCACGGACATTGATCGAGCAAAAGAGGAAGAAGTAGATCCTCAACAAGATTCTTCAACTCTTCTGGAACAGGCCGAGTGCGAGATTGACACAACAGATTTTGCAGATCCAGCTGAAGAAGAACAACAACAGGTTGAATCTGCCGATCTTTTGGGTTTAGGTGACGAGGCGGGTCCAGTAGGAGAAGCATCCGCTGCATCCGAACCATCTGCATCCGTGCCTGAGCCCGCGGTCGCTGGCACATCCGGTGTCGCGACAGAAGCCAACACTAGTTGCCCCGATCAAATAGTCCCACCACCAACTAGCCCTAATCTTGTTGACCCAGGTGCCGATCCTATCCAAGTAGGACATTCCCCCGCTAGTTCATCAACAGCCCATCGACCAAGGGTTCGATCCAGCAGGGGTGGTGCCACAACCAGGTGGCAAGAAGCAAAGCGAGCTTGGTGGAACGACTTCGAGGCATACCAAAATTGGCTTTACCATAACTCCGGAGGGGATATCGTAGGTGGCTTTTGGTTAAGAAAGATTTCTTACGAATACGCCGACGAAAGCACTCGCTGGTTGATAGCTCTTCATTCAAGACTTGTTGAGGAGTTCCCAACATCACAGTGTTTAGCTTTGGCCTACCAGATCCTCATCCCTTACAAAGAGTGGGCTCACATCCACGGTTTGGACAGGCGCAGAGGTACTTCACACGCTGAACAAGTGATAAACTCTGGTGAACTACCCCCAAAAAGGATCATCAATCAACGCATCTTAGGGGCAGAGCACCCGCGCCCAGAAGAGTGGGATAGGTATTATAGATACGTAGGCCCACAGCAGCAACCCCGTCCAAAAGTGGTAAGGCCTGCTGCCGCAACACCCGTTGCTGGCGCGGCAAGTGGAGGCACAGATCCGACTCCGGTCCAGCAAGGACCCAAAGAGCCTGGGCACCCACCGCCGAACTGGCAACCTTCTTTGAGAAGGCCACCTGAGCCAGCAGTGCCACCGCGTCCAAGGGTTACTGTCTCTGTCCATCCGGTCCCACAAGCCCCAAAGTCAGATTCTCAAGGGGTCGCTGCCTTTGGGCGCGACGTAGCACCAGTCCCAGTTGCTAGCCCTGCTAAGCCACCAGCTAAAGCTAGGCCCAAAGCTCCTGATTCTAGTGCCACAACCCTTGCAGATAGAATTCAAGGTTTGCCACCTCCACCTAATAACATTCCCCCTAGTCCGCCTGCTCATAAACAACCACCCTTACCACCACCACCATCTCATCCGCCGCCAACTGCACAGGAGCTCGCTGCCCGCGATCCCCAGCCAGCAGAGGCGCGAGAAGAGACTGCTCCGGAGGATCCCAACGATCCACCGCCTGAAGAGGAGCAGTGGGTGGAGGAGGAAGAGGAAGAGGAAGTTTTGGAGGAGGACGAAGTGGTTGAAGTTGAGGTTGAGGCCGAAGCTGAACCCGAATTCCCTGACTTTACATCAACAGAGCACGGCCGTGAGGTTTCCACGCGCCGTCGTAGGCCTAAAAGAACTAGGTCCAATCCGCCATTGCCTGTCAATCTAGTCCCAAGGGAAACCCGTGAACGCATTGAACTTAATCAAGAACTTTATAGAGCCCGAACCATAACCGGTGTTTCTAGGAGACCTCTTGCTTTAAGACCTCAAGTGCACGGTTACCCCGAAATTAGAATTGACTCCGCTGGCACCTGGGCTAGGGTCGCTGATCCTCCGATCGCGTACGCGCCGCAGACTTTGCCGTTCATTGTGCCTCACGCCGTGGCACCAGAGCTTGGGGTCAACCCACACGAGCTTCCCGACTCGTTGTGGCGTGATCCTGCACTTAGATCCCATCGGACTGTTCTTGGTTCAAGTAACTTAGACCCTAATAGTGTTTATAATCTTGACACCAATAACCCCGGTACCGAATCTGAGGGCTCTGAAACTGCTGAGACTCGAACCGCCAGGTTTGTTTCATCAGGTCAGGCATTTGTCGGCCAGCAAGAACCGTTCGACGCTGGCTTCGCTGAGCGCACCCCTGCCCGTCCAATTGAGTCTCCACCAAAGAGACAGCGTCCTAACATAAGAACCTCCCGAATCCAACGTGACAAGCCGGCACAGCCCAGAAAAGATCCAGTTTCTGCTGCACCAACACCACCTGCAGCCCCTACAGTACCATCTTTGACTGTTCCCCCATTAAGCGGTTCTAGTAGTTCAGCTTATCCCTGGAGGCAGTCTTTGCAAAGTGCTGGAACTGGGGTCGCTGACACAGCCCGTGTCGCGACAGAGACTGCATCAGAGCCAGCCGGCTCTCCCGTTGCGCGATCCAGGTCAAGAGCACCCTCAGCCGAGACTGCGCCCGCAGTTGCTGCCAGAACAAATAGGGGAAGGGAAGTACCAATTTCAAATAAGATTTCATCTAAGTCTCGCAAAAGAGCTAGTTCCGTTCCTGTGCCAATCCGTGCAAAAGGGGCTGCTGTCCCCGACACGCCCCAAAGGCCAGAACCGTTGCCACTAGCTCCAGAGAAAAAGAAGAATCTGCCTTGGAAACATCCACCTGTGTCAATTGCACCTGTGGCACCTGCTGCACCCGCTGCACCTGTGGTAATTCCCCCAAGACCTAATAGGCCTGTTCCCCCTAATCCAGCTAGTCTTAAGCCTGTAAAACCTCCTCCGCCAGGAATTGGGGGGCCAAGACCTGCTGGTCAACCATCCCGAGATCTTCCTCCACTTGATCCC